GTTACGGAATTTTGAACACAAACACCGTTTTAAAGCTCTGTCCAGGGATCACCACAAAGCTAAGTGTTCTTTCAGCAAAATGAAAACAATTCACATGCTTCCGTATGAGAAGTGTTTTTGTTTTGCTGAAAGAACAGTTATTTTTTTTGTGATTTGTGGACAGAACTTTTAATACGGCGTTTGTGTTCAAAATTCCGTAACTTGAAAAGTAATTGAGTGATTTGAATGATTCTTGTACTAAAAGAAAGCTCATTAATTGGGCTTTCATATCTACATCCTAGATTTTGAAAGTGCTACAGGCAAAACTTCATTCAAAAATCGGTCCTGCCGTTTGGGTTGCAGGTTTTTTTTTACTCACCCTGTACAAATGATTATTGTTCACTAAAATGTTGCTAGTAAGTAAAGAGGCAAATTTCTTAAGATGTTTCATAAGTTGGTCTTTCCATGCATTGTTGACATTTAAAAAGAGATCCACATTTCATTTACATGTCTTCCCTTTCCTACGTTACAAAGTGTTCACTTTCTTAATTTTTGTTTTATTGATCAAGCTTGGATATTCCAAGCCTGATTTTATTAAATCTTTGCCATTGATCCACTTGCCTTCTTTCCCAAAATCCCAAGTCCTGCACTTCTCATCATTCCACAGTCTTGTCATCCATCAAAAATACATGTACTCCGTTGTAACCGTAAAACGTTGATCAATGTGGTCAGGTTCAAGACACAGATTTATCAAAGCCGTACCTGGGGAATTTCTAAGAGTTTCTTTAATGGATTTACGAGAAGGTGCTCAAATCAGAAACATTTCAAATTATGTTGATTGATAAGTGACTGCCTCATACGTGTACATGTACATGTGCACCCATCAATAAACATCTGTAAGCAGCAAGGGAATCATGTTAAAGGCACATAGGATCATTTGCTTTTACTTTTCATGCATTCTGTTCATTTCCAATGAAAACGCCACTCAAAATCCAGTGAAGAATGTTCAAAACCTAACCCGTTGAATTTCAGCTCAGTGGAGATTATATTTTTCGGTGAAAAACCATTCACAACCTTTTGATCACAAAACACAATTTTGTCTAGATTTTGTCTTCCAGTGAGTAGTCAATTGGAAATCACGTACATTCCTTGATTTCTAAATGACAGCAAGCCAGACGGAATTATTTCACAGGGTTTTCATACCAGTACGATATATAACCCTTTAAATTCAAATCTGATATTTAACTTCAGTCTGGTCCTGTGAACTTTGGCAAACCAACTTCAGAAGTTCAGACCATACCCCACACACTTGCATTACCGTGAATACATGTACACAACGCTTCTGTGTGATTGGAATTTCTCGGGTAGCAGTGCCAAGGTTCCCAAGACTTACATGTAGATTCATCTCGTTGATAGCAGCCTGTACCAGCTTGACCGTGCTTTCCAGGGACAGCAACTGGCTGAATTAAGGGACAAAAATCCAAATCCAGTAATTTGACCAGAAATTCTTGAGCAGATGTTTGCCCGGTCGGGGGTTCCTGGGCTGGGACAGGATGTCAAGATTTCTTACGGTGATCCTTGCTTGATTAGCTTGGCTGTCAGCTGTGGTCCCACTTCAAGTTTTTTAATAAATGCGTTACGAAAACGTGGCTCAAACCACAGAGTTTTTGGCTAACAAATGTGACAGGGCAATTTTGGCATTCCAGTTTCCATGTGACATATTGTGTTTATTGTGAAGTATAACTGTCAAATTCAGCTTATAAAGCTTTCGTTGTTTGTCATTTATACCTTTTCTACATGCCTGGACACTGCACAAACGTGAGAGAAGGCACCGCTTGAGTTATTGCCTTTTGCCTGATCCAGTTTTGCTTGAGCTGCTAGATAGGCAGGGTTGTCCAAAGGATTTTGTTTGAACTGTAGGGGAATTTCAACCCACGAAGTCCTGGTGTTGGGTTGGGGGGGGGGGCTGCTTAATTCTAAAAAAAAGGTAACGTCTGTCACTAGCCAAAGTGACCCATCAGGCCGGGGTTTACATGTATCTACGATTTCAGTAGCGTGAAACGGCTGAGAAAAGGGCCCGAAAAATTCTTGGAGTCTACATGCAGTCATGCTTCTGTGGTGCATTATGAAGATTTTGTTTTTCTCTTGAAATTAGAGCAAGTACGAAGTGTTGCTGAGCTTTCTTTGTTCAGTTGGACAATTTCCTCCCTAAAACCCCAATGTTAATAAATCTGTAGTTGCAGACTGGTACGTGTTCTGCTCTCAAGTAGCGAATGCATGAATGCCATAGTACCCATTATGTGAAGCCAACCGTGAAGACATCATCCTCCCCCTGCTGTGACATTCCTCATTTTCGTGACAGAATTCTCATCTCAAAATAACTGCATTCCGCTGAGCAAATCATAACTTTTAACTCATTCCACGCACGACCGATCACCCAGGGTCAACTTTTTTCAACTCCTTCAGCGCATGAACGATCCAGGGACGTCGCAATTGAACTGAACCGCAGATGATGTGTTCAGGCACTTGACAAGTTAAATGTCATTACTATCGCGTGCAGTATGGCCACACTTGACTGCTCATGCAGAACCCTGATTTTTGTTCTCACGGACGTCAGACGTGAGATAAAACTTTGCTCGTTGCAATTTGCAATCAATTTTGACAGAAGAAATAAAGTTATTTTGTACTGTATTACCGTACATGTACATTCTGCTTGCTTAATATAACATGCAAATCAATTTTTTGCTCGTGTTCAAGAATTGCCGGTTTGAATATTCAAAAAAGAACGAAAAAACATGCACGTACATTTGTACACACGCAACTGTGTTGTTATTTTATCATAAAGTTGCAGCTCTTTATTGTCAGGTGGGACTGTTTTGTCGACGGCAACCTTTTTCTCGACGGAAGTTCATACATGTTTCACATCCATTTTGTTAAAGCCCTTTTACAGAACTTTACAAAAAATACTTACTGCAAAACTCTCCAGCGCCCCATATCAATCGCCGCACACAACATTTAACCGGCACACGCTTCGTGCAACTTTTTACCGGAGCAGCACGCTGCGGCACTGCACTTTCCAATATCCAAATATTCGGTCAAACCAGTTTCAAGTAATCAAATACTAAATTATTTGAAAACAAACAGCCGCACCGGTAGTGACAGCATGTTTAGAATGAGTTGGATGCAAAATGTCCGTACCCAAATTCAAAATGTAAATTTCTCTTCTACAGATTTCAACACGTGAGTCAGATCCACAGGGACCATAATTTCCTACCACCATTCATGGAATAATAGATTGGTTTTCTCAAGATAATTGTACCACCGAGTTCCGTGATTACACAAGGGTCTCATTTCTGGACAAACACTGCAGGGTATCCATTGCTAGCTCTCAATTTGTTGATATGTTGGGTTTAAAGTTACATTCATTCATTGGGGGTTGAGAGTTTTTAAAGAGGGCTGGTCTTGGAATTTCCTCTTAAAGGAATCGAGTGGGAAGCAACTTTTGCTCGGAACTTCATCTTGGAAATTTTGTAGTCACAAATTATATCAGGCAACTTTGATCAAAACGTTGATCATGGTATGAAATCAGATGTGAAAAAGGAACGATACTTAATTGAAAGCCACTACAGACATTGGATTTCAGAAAGGTGTATGTTTTCTATAAATTAAACAAAATTTAGGCACAGTGGGATATATAGAACTCGTTTCTGACAAAGTTGAACTGAGTCTGATTTTTGTTTTTGCCATCAGGTCATAAAGTCAACAGTGTACATGTGTAGTTCATCAATCTCAAAAATCTGAAGCTTTTGCCCGAAATGTTTGATTCAAGCCAGCTGTCTCATTATAGCAATATTCTAAACACTCATATTCCCAAACAGTGAAATTTCATTCTATTCAATAAGCCAGTTCGATATTTCAGTGACCCGAGGTCATCCGGGATAACATTGCTGACGTGATGTTACCCGATGTTACGCGCACGCCCATTCTGCTGGTAATTTACATGCAAGCGTTGTGCGCCTGCGTTTATGTGCCTTCAAACGTTCGATTACCACGAATGACCCCTGACCCATATCATTGTGTACATGCGCAGTTGAAATACAGAACTGGCTTATTGAAATTAGGGACAAAACATTTGGAACAAAATATTCAATCAAAATGATTTTCCAATCAAATCAATTAGGTTTCAACGTGAGAAATATCTTTCAGTGTAGCAAAGAGAAAGTGTAACATACTATGTCTGGTCTAAAATACTCAGTCTTGTCACTTCTTTCAGTTGGTGTTTGAGTGAAAATTCTTTCTTTGGGAACAAGAGCGTGTGAGCACTTAACTTTCACACAGTTTAGTTACAACTTTCCCCTTTAACTTACAACCTACCAGTAAACCTAGTTTAAATCCCCCAGGCAAGGTTTACTTAATACCAGGGTTTATTTGACCTGCCGGTTAATTGAAAGAGGAAACCTCACTTCAGGATTTGTTGAGTTTTTGTTAGGCCAGGCGACAAATTGAATTGTGCAACTTGACAAGGGGCGCTTGTCGGTTTTTTCAATTAACGGTCTGGTGAGAAAACCTTAAATGCCCTCGAGTCACGTGTCCAATAATAACGAAATAAGCATGGATTTCTGGCACTGGTAGTTTCCATCGGAGTTTTTTTTAGTGGCCAGTCTAAAAGTTCATGAACATTGTGCATGGATGATGTTCTTAACATCGGGCGGCCAAGGTTGAAATCGCTGCGGGACGTTTCTCCCCATTTTTACTCCTCTTCGTAATCTTCTATTCCAGCAGTTCTTGCAGTTTTTTAGTCAAAATCATGTACACAGAAAAAGTAACAGACAAAGTGTTCATGTTTTTGGCCGTGGTTTGCTTAGTAATGTTCATTGTAATTTAAATAGTTTGACAAGTTCGGTTATGCCCAAAGGTGATGTGCAACATTTGCAAACATTAAAAAAAACAACTATCAAATATATTGTGAAATACTTCACTTGACTGTAAGTGAATAATAGTCTCAAGCATCCTGTGAAATCATGGCACCCGGTATGCTGTCAATTTCAAGAAATGTGGATTTTTTGTGTCAATTTCCAACGATAGTTTTGCCAACCATTGGGGAAAAAAAGTAACATTTTTTTTTCAAATACTGGTTTTTCCAGCACAAAACTTTAAACAGGTACGGTCAGTGTAAACAATATTTGCTATAAAAATACTAACTCCCAAATCCATCCATTTCTGAAACTTACAGCAAAAGCAAAATGTTGTATATTGCCTTTAAACAAAAAAAATTGAGGCATTCTGCCATATGGTTCATTCTAATTAGCATGATATGAAAGTATACGGTGTCTGCAAAACATTCTATTTGAGTTCTGTGTTTTATGGCTAGACCAGCCACAGCTGTACCATATTTATTTTCAGTTCACAGACATGTACAATAAGTGCATGTAATTGTACTAGTGTGTTTTCATACAGACAGATCAACAACCCTAATGTGTTAACCATCACATATTTGGCCCATAGGTTCCCTCAACACGATTGTGTAATTGGCAGTGTTCAAGAGGGGGGCCGGGCCCAACATTGTTATGAGTGAATTGTTCAGCAGCGGGTGACTCTTTTTGCTTCGCTGTGACTGGCTGGTCGGTTTGTGTACAAACATGCCATGCCACTGACTCACTGTCGTGATGTTCGGCAGGTCTGCGCTCCGGCTTTTATTGTACTTACAGGGAATCAATACTCCAGATCAGATCTTCAGTGCAGGTGCTGTGGTATGGATATCCCGGGCAGACGCTCTCACTAAAAAACAGAGCAATGGATAAATTGCTAAGATGATTGGAATTCTAAGACGAAAATGAGCACCAGTCGTAGTTGAAGCATTGACTTGTCTCCTCGAAAGGATATATGTTTTTCGAAAGGATATATTCTGTTTTTTGTTCGCAAGGATACTGATTTTTCGTGAGTTTGGTGAAAGATGGGCGCGTGAGTGCAGCCAGCATCTTGTAGAGCTATCAAGTTCGGATTATGTTCTGGAAAGCTGGATGATCGGAAGTTATTGTGTGTAATACAGCTGAACTACAAACGGGTCTGTGCTCGTAAACCCAGATACGCTTGGATGACAATCGCACTTGGGTATGTTTACTGCCCCTTTCTTCAATCTCGGATTCATACCAGTATCTGTACATTGCACAAAGCTATGTTGTGTAGCATCTGTGCTCTTCAAAAGGCCGTTTCACAATTTCATCTCACCTACACGTGTTAAAACAACACGGGTCCGCCTTGAAAAAAATCCATGAAGTGTGGAAGGAGGATTATATCTGATCGTTGTTTCCCAAATTTGCAGGAACAGATGAACAAGGTGGAGGTCTCCGGGTGAACCCAGCGTACCTAGAGCAAGGCCAAGTCAACACTTCGTATTCAAGCGCAGCAACAAGCAGCAGCAGCGGACAGCGACGGGCGACGCACAGCATCAGCAACAACTCGGCACAGCGACGCCAGTATTACAAGGAGAGAGACCGGAGGCACACGCTAGCGTCGCACACACCGACGTTGGCATCGTATGGTCAGGTGAGCGCTTAGAGTTGTAGTCAGATCACAAGTCAATTAAAAGTCTGTCAAAGGTTCATCTAAAGTCAGTCACAAGTCCATCACAAGTCCAAGTAAGTCACAAGTCAAGTTACAAGTCAGTCACAAGTCAATCACAAGTCACAGGTTCACCCAAAGTCCATCACAAGTCAGTCACAAGTCCATCACAAGTCAGTCACAAGTCCATCACAAGCCTGATCATAAGTCAGATCACAAGTCCATCTCCCATACACAAGATGGACAACCAAGTACTGTAAATCATGCCTTATTTTGGTCACCTATCTTCACATTTGAAGACGTTTGTCAGTACCCGCAATTGATAGCAAGTATCAAAACTTCCCTTAATAGGCAAGTACAATGTTCATGTAGGCTATTCCAAAGTGAAAATCCTTCACTTGTTTTTTTAACTGTTTGCACTTTATTCTTTCCTAAGAAATGTTGCAATTTTGTGTGAAATTCCCTCATTGCTAGCGTGGCAGTGCAAGTTCCCAGTAACATTGGCCAACTTCCAAGCAAAATCCACCCCAGGAATTCCCCACGGACCATTTAGTACACTCCAGCGTCCTGCCATAAATTCTCACATAAAAGGAAACACTGTTGTATGGGGCAACAATAAGCCAGCTGTAAAACTTGTTAATTGGTTCAAGTGAGCTCAGCCAAAACAGTTTGCCCATACTTGAGGTGCCAAAATCCATTAGAGGGCCGTAAATCCTTCAACAAACTAAACCCAGTGTGTTTGGTTGTGATAAGGCTTACATCATGCAATTACAACCCTAGTGAATCAAGGGGAACTGTAGGGTTTTTTGGGGGGTGTCAATCCTCAACATGCTGGGCATAAAGGATGCCATTGTGTTGGTCTTGTTGCCCACCTGTGGTTTGTGTACGCAGCAATTTTGCAGCCAAATTTACTCTTCTGAAAAGGAAGAAGTGTTGACACTAGAAACTCCAATAAAAGTCCTGCCAATCTTTTTGATCCACTACATCATGTACCAGTACCTTTTATGAAAAAAAAACTAGAGGCAAAATTCAAGAAAATTACGATATATGAAGAAAAAAAAACATTTACGACATGTAAAATACACGTGGACATTGAATTACATGTATAGTAATGTGGCCCATCAGGCCGGCGTTTATCTCCGGTTTCAGTGGCACGAAACCATGAAACAACTGAGAATATTTCTATTCCCCCTGGATGGGATGCTAGTCCATCGCAGGTTTCTCCCCAGCTAAAGCCAGTACCCATTTATACTCCTGGGTGGAGAGAGGCAAGTGGGGGTGAAGTGGCTTGCCCAAGGACACAATATATGACCAGCGGCTGGATTTGAACCCCTGACCCTCTGATCATGAGTCACGAACCCTAACCACTAGGCCGCACTCCCCCACAATTACATGTACTGTACTTTAAAACACTGATGTGTTAAGAACATAAATGGGTCATTCCGTTAATTTGGGGTCCCATTTTAGTGGCCCTGTTTAGTGTTACATCTAACATGTATAAGATTTTGTAATTCAGGACACATTCTCAAATGCCTTCTGTCTCCAAGAGTGATTATGTAGAGCAAAATAATACCTGTCAAACAAATACAAAAACAGTGTGAAGTGAAGTCAAAAAGAAAAAAAAACACAGTTATTTTAACCTATGTGTTAACTAAGAACTGCTAGTCTTTTGTTCTGAAATCACACATTTTTCTTACCCAGAGAGTTTATTTTTACAGCTGCAAAGACTTCAGCAAACACCCTAAACAATTGCGCTCCATCTCGTAAATCTTACAAAGATTTCATCACAGAGAAAAAAAAAAGATAACACATGTCTGTGTACATATTTTGCAATGACTCATCAAGATCAAAACTCACTTTTATTAATGATTTATGGGTGAAGTATGTGTGGGCTGTTTGATGTTGTTAGTAAACTTTCTGTAACTGATACTAGAGTGTAGGAGCTGATAAAAACTTGTACATACATGTAAATGTACCAGTAGTTTATATTATAAATACTTGGCTGGCGCAGTGCCAAGCCATCATTTTAAGCGAAGTGTCATTTCTCAAAACAAATTTTTTTTTAATCTGGTTTACGGAATTCCAGGACTTGACATGTACATGGACCATCTGGTTTCGGTCTTCACATTTGGTGGCTTCATTACACCGCTCTTGTTCTGTCATAAATTTTCTTTTGTTTGAAATATTGAAAGGTGTAAAATATCACAACAGAGTTGTGACTAATATGACCTTGGGGCAAAATAATGATTTTTTTTTCCGCCTTGCGTCTGGGAAGGTGGCAATTTGATACAGTGTAAAATTTTGCAAAAGTTTACATGTAATTCTATTTGTCACAAAACATATTTCTTGTATCGGTCTTTTTTTAATTAGATTTCCCCAGTTGTGGGTTTGGGGTTGTACCTTGTTTGTGACACTTTGTAGTTGTCATTTTAGCATAACCTCGTAGCTGTTTCTTTATCAATCTGAAAATTCAGCTTGCTTTTCTTTTCTGTGCTGTGAGTGGGTGAAGTCACAGGAGAAGATAAAAAAAAATTGAAGAGCTTGCCTCTTTTTCCCCCAAATTCATAATCGTTCCCATCAAAGAAACAAAATTTGCTGTTCATTTGGCAAGAAAAAGAAATTATGCTGCCTTGGGCTTTGTGTTCAATTAATAGTAAATTTCAACAAGAAAAAAATTGCCTATGAGAAAAAAATTGACAGAATTATTACCTCAGAGAAAAATCCTAAGTATGAAAAATCGGGCCCAGTGTGCATTTGTAGCTTTATGATATTTTTTTAAGAGCGAAAGTTGAAGAGGCACATTGCCATAGTATTGAAACAAGAAAATACGAAACTGCAAAAATTCAGGTTCATAATGATGCAGTTTTAAACCATGTGTACAGCAATTCCCCCTAAAGGCATACCCGTTGCTAACTAATTAGCCTAATATGACCATGGAGGAAGAAAATGACCAAAACTGAGGATGAACAAAGGTGTTCGATTCCCATTCAACTATAATTACATGCAAGGTGCATGTCAGCACGCCTACATACACATCCCCATGTGTATCGCTGCTGTATCGGTGTCTGCCCGCGCGCATTTTATAACAGTTATAAACCAAGTATTGATGACTGTGCTCTCTTCCATCCAACCAAATTAATGAAGCGATTCGCAGTTGCCCTCTCCCCCCCCCCCCCCCAAACACGGCTGCTCTCTCTTTTTTCCGGAAATGAAAACCACTAGAGTGTAGGCCTCCCTATCTTTACTGATCAACACAATGCATTGTTCGAGTCACTCAACGATCTCGGGCCATAAATACTCAAAAAGCGATTTGATATCTTAGACCAACGGGAGTTTGTTTTACTCATTTTATACGAGTAACTGGACCTGTGGAAATCGGAGAACGGACATAAATTATTCACGGTGGAGTACTAGGGATATTATGCTGGGCTATAACACCTCTGGGTGGCCATTAAAAAAAGGCCTGTGCGATTTGTCAAAAAATGCTGTTGTGTCTGGGATTTTTGGGTTGAGAGATCTGTTTAAGTCTTGCTGATGGCGTGTTGTTTTCTTGTTCGAAGATGTGTTGGAATGCTGGTTAATCTTTCATGAGACCAAGTGAAAAAAAAATACCTGTGTTGCCTGTTATTATTACCCCACTCAGCCTAGAAAATCATGCTGAACCTAAATCTTTTTATTCGAAAAAAAAAAATTTAATAAACTATTAAAAACTACTGCCTCCTCCCTTAATGTAATGCATATGTATATGTACCTGTACTTTTTTCAGAAATTGTCCTGCATTGTTTTAAATTTTCATTCCATTTTTTGTAAAGTTGGTCAGCGGTGCGGTCTTGCCGCATCCTGCAGCGAAGCCTATAAGCATTAAGCTGTGCAGCAAATGCAGGGCAAACAGTTGATTCACATGTTAACTATTACAAATGCATGCAAAAAAATATGATTATGTAATCAACCATCATCCCACTGTGTTTTTCTGGCTATAACAAATTTGAGCACAAAAAAATGTTTACCCACCCACCCTATTTTTTTGTAAAAGTAGTAGGAAACACACAAAAAATTTGGTGACCACATCTTCCTTGTCATTTTTTTTGGGGGGGGGGTGCTTTGAACTTTGTGAATCCACTAAAATCCTCCACTCTCTCTGGAAAAACCCAATGGCACATTCTGTCTTTGTACTCTTTAACTTTTTTCAAGGGACATTAAGTTCCATGTACACATAGAATGATAGTGGCTGGCCTCCATCTTCCTCAATCCTGCAAAATCCTTCAAATTTTCAGGTGGAGAAACTGGGATCTTTTGACTATTCCTAACTATTTACCGTATTTATGTAAATAAAATTCAACATGTTCAATCAAATTTTGCACTGTACACCTGTGAGTGCATTCTTACTGGAGAAATTGACGCTCTGCTGTGTGATGGCTCAAAAATTGATTTTGCGAGGTCATTATGTCTGAGCAATTTTGTGTTTCTTAACTTCAGCGTGTGACATTTCATCTGTATGTAAATTAATTCATTCAGCCTGGGTTCTAACCCTCTCCATTGTGGTCATAAATATTCTGCCTTGCTCCATTGTTAGAGGAGAGTGACCTTGTATTCGTTATTAGATTCTTATCTTCGTGTACAGTACGTGAGATCTTGTCAAAAATGAAAAACATTGTCTTGCCTCGTTATAAAACCAAAAGTCATTTCACAGACTGCAACACTCTTTTAATCTCAAAGTGTTAAAGCCAATATTTAGCCATAATAAAATGTTATCCCTGTTTTGTAGGCTAGCTCCCCTCCAGAATCAGAGCAAAGATCATGTAAACTGCCACCGGTGCCTGGCAACAGTGTTTAGATTGGGTGCCAGGGATAATGTTCAGTTAGTGCCCTGCTCATACACATTATAGGCACTAAGTAAATATTGCCCAGCACTACTTGTATACAGTAAATGTTAAAGGTGTGGTTGTGACCTTGGGAAATATGGTTGCAAAATTGGTTTGAACTTCAAGGAAATCATAGTGGGAATACAGACAAATGTATTGCACAATGAAAGGAAATGAACCTTAACCTTATTTGTATGTTCAAGTATTTTTCAGAACTGTTGAAAATGTTGATGTTGGTGTGCAATAGAAATACATGTGTGTAACATTACTCTTGCATGTTGCTTGCCAATTATCTTGTTTATAATCAGGGTGTAATAGTTGGTGTTTTTTCTTATTGTAGATTAGTCTAAACAAAAATCCCAAGATGGGAATGACCTGATGTTTATAATTCTGAAAAGTTTTGATCACATCACAATCTTTTCAAAGGCTGAAAAGTCTCGACAACAATTTTTTTAAAAACTTTTCCCCTGATGTGCTTGTCATTTTCAATCGGTCAAGGGATGAAATATTACCGCATGTGCATTTTGTTAATTTGCGTTAGTAGTTGGTTTGTAATTCGGCAAATCCGTGAATCAGCGCATGCAAGCGTTGACACAAAGCACAGGGGCGTGCGGTTGCTATTATTCATCGGTTCAGTGCGTGCCATCGCGTAGCTGCAATCGACTGAATGAGGACATGTCCCGGATGCTGATTTCGGGTGCAATTCAAAATATGGCTTTTGAATTGAAATCGAGGTCCTGGAACATTTTTTTCTCGGAATATACAGCATTCACAGAGCTAAACCTTCATCAGGTATAGTTGTTAAGCACCCGTCTTTAGATTTTTAGCACTTTTGTTGCTTTAAATAAAACAAATGCACAAATAACAAATGATACCCCAACTTTAAGAAACTTGAAACATTGACCTCCATTCCCCTCGACAAATCAGTGCAGTGGCCCGCAAACTCCTGACATTCATTGATCCACAGACCTCTCAAAATCTCATTTATCATAACATACCAGGTACATACATACCTCCCAGTAGCCATGGGAAAAAAATATTACAAATCATCAATTGTCATTGGGTAGAATGATCTTTGTTGACATGTTTTTTTTCTGCGGCACTTGAGACTTCCCAGGGGCATTGTAATGAGGTCTGCGCTGATAGAAGTTCAGAGATCATGATTGTCATTTATCGTAATCAGCAAAGTTAAACTTTGCAGTTTGCATAGGTGATGTGCGTGTACTGTATAGTAAATGGCGTAGATATGTTTTGATCAATGTTCCATTATTTTTGTTTCACAGTGACAATTTGACTCAATTGTCCCATGATAACGATATTATAATTTTTTTTTCCTGTCGTTTTTCACAGAGGCCGACCTCCAATGAGCAGAAACGAGAGTTGTTTATGGAATATCTGAAGCAGAAGTACCCAGAGCACTCGGACACGATTGAAATGGCCAAGCAACCTGAGCAGGTGAGTCGTGATTATGCTTTTTTTTCTCTCTCACGTTTTTTACAAAAATGTGGTAAAAAATATACATGTACCAACAATACACCAACATCCCAAGGTTTTGAGAAATTAAAAATTTGTAAAACTCGGAAGAGGGTATTTTGTAGCTAAGATGGTCTTGTCTGAAATGGATGGGTAGAATTACATTCACTGTGTGGACTTCCGAACAAAAGAGGTCCACATAAACCAGGTAGAGGCGACACTGTGTGGACTTGGGCAAGTCCACACAGTGTTTCCCCATTTCTGGAAAACAGGTTTAGAGGCATTTTGGGGTTAGGTTTATCCGTAGCAGAATGAAGAGAAACACTAAAGGGTATCATAGAAAAAAAATTGGGTTGAAAGAGTTTTCACAGTTTGAGAAAAATGAGTTTTTTTCACTGGTTTTTCTTAACTACACGAAACCAAGGGAATGTCCACTCTTGGTATGCAACGTAAACATGTGTGTGTACATGTATGTATGTCCATGGATCATTCACTGTACCAGTAGCTTGCCAATGATGCGGGTCAAAACTGTTGTCGTTGTCACAAAATACATGTGCCTAAGTTAGTCACTGCCTTGTTTTTACCTACCTGTACATAATCCTATGAGACCACCTGAACCTCATTCTCACATTCACCACAAATGTATTCAAACTTCAATCCTCACCTTCTGTGGTATGAAGCGCAACAGACTTTGTGTAACAGAAAACAAGGGGCCCAGTATAAAGCTGAAACCACAAAGTTTACATCCGTGCCATTTACACAGCAAATCAGTCAGCCACACATCACAATATTAGGAGTGGGTCCATTAAATTCAGTCAAATTAAAAAATGGTTTGAAACGCAACAAACTTTGTGTTACAACAGAAAACAAGGGGCCCAGTATAAAGCTGAAACCACAAACTGTACAACCTCATGTCATCAGTGCCATTTACACTGCAAATCAGTCAGTCACACATCACAATATTAGGAGTGGGTCCATTCAATTCAGTCAAATTAGAAAATGGTTTGAAGCGCAACAAACTTTCTGTTACAACAGAAAACAAGGGCCCCAGCACGCCCTGAAACCACAAAGTTTACAACATCATGTCATCAGTGCCATTTACACTGCAAATCAGTCAGTCACACATCACAATGTTTGGAGTGGGCCCATTCAATTCAGTCAACACATTGTTTTAGGTTGCCAGGACTGGGGGGAATTTAGTCAAGAAAGTTGGAGTGAGAGTTGTAAAGAATGTAGGGCCTACAGTACAGTGTACATTTGACCATAGAGCAAGGAATTTGACAAACTCCTGTAGGTGTTCATGTAGCTCGGCTTGTAGTTGAGGCATTTTATTACCGGTACTTTACTGTGGTACATGTAGATTACCAATTCCCATTGGTCGAGATCGTCACATGGCTGCTTTTTGACTGGCAGCGTTCTGCACCTCAGCAGAACGCAGCGCGCACCAATTTCCATATTCATAGGAGATCTAAGCGTGGACATTTGTGAATTTTTTTACTTGTTTTGGTTTTTGGAACAAAAGGTACATGAACCGGTACCCAGTGCCTGCTTGGCCCTTATTAAACCTAGCCAGGTTTAAATGTACTTGTTTTAAAAACCGGCTAAGCCCATATTTGTTTCCGTATAGGTGCTACTGTGTGAAACCACAGAGAATCTTTTAAAAGTATAGTATAGTCTAGTATAAGGCCACACAAAAAAAGTCTCCGGTTTCTGGTATGGAGCTTGCCCAAAAAGTGGTGCGGCGACGCGGCTTTTTTTTTTTTTTTTTACCTGACTTTTTTGCTTCAAATGTCAGCTGATGACTGCAAATGGTGCCCGACTAAACTTAGTGAAAATATAAGGGAGTCCAGAGAGGCCACATAAAGCTTATTCTCGATCATAACCCATCTAAAAACACGTTAAAATTGTGCAGCAGCAGGATTCCAGTCAAACCAGTGAGTTTGGCGGTTTTGAGACATCATCTTTCATTGAAAAAAAAAACTTTGTCATTTTGCCGACGCGCATGGCTACGGCGACGCGCGCGCATACCAGAAACCGGAGACTTTTTTTTTGGCCTAAACCAGACATTTATAGGATTTTTTTTTAATTTTTTAAATAGTGCCTGGCTGTATCAGGTTCATAACTTGCCCATGTGCCAAGTAAAGTGCCATTTATACTTGCACCTGAGGTCTAACATGCAAGTCGATAGTTCTCAATCTTAAAGAAAGGAGGACATGAATTAGCAAAAAAAGGGGGTTACATGATGCATGAAGGCCTGCTGTGCTTTACCCATGGGAGGGGTGGCACTCTCGAACTGTGAGGAAAGGCAACGATTATGTCATATCCGGAGCAATGTTTGTGGTGCTGTACAAAGCAAATTGAGGAATGAATGTCTGTTTGTCAAGAAATGGTATCTTTGTTAAAAAAAAAAAAACTTGATACGGCCCCCCAAAAAAAATAGTCGGTCTCTGGTCAGACCGAAGTTCCGGAATTGACGTGGCGACGCGGCTTTTTTTTTTTTTTTTTTTTGCTTTTTTTTTTTTTCTTCAAGCTTGGATTGTACAGACAAGGTGGGGTACTTTTTTGCTTTTTTGGTGTCCTCATGTACATTGGTGTCCTCCATAATTTGCCTTGGTGCTCTCGATCATTTGCCTTGGTGCAATTTCCCATTCCTTGGTGCTCTTTGGTAGAAAAAATTGAGGAGGTGCAGCAATAGAGGGCGCTGTTGGAGCTACCGCAGAACATTTTGGAAAAAAAAAGATTGACGCGCATGATTAAAATCGACGCGCACGCTGACCAGAAACCGACTTATTTTTTTTGTTGACCTAACAGGTTTTTTTTTTTTATAGGAATGATAGATAATACTGAAATTGGTGAGAGATGATTTACATGTACATGTATGTTAATTACATCAGTTGCTGGGGGTTTTTTTGGCTTAAAATGCTAAAAACGAGTCAACTGGTAAGAGAGCTCAGTGCACACATTTTGCCGAGTACAGAAACACAAGTGAGGTTTTTTTTTTTAACTATTCCTACCACTATAAAAGGGTAGGCCTATACGTACTTGTACATCTTTGAGTTTCATAATTATGGTCATGATCTTCAAAAACACTCCTTGTTTCAGATTTACCATTTACAATTGACTCTCGTTAATACAAATTGGTTACAACAACATTCTAGTTATGTAGTTAACATAATCTTCAGTCATGACCGCGCAATTATGTGCACAATTCGGGCGATTCACAATGCAGTGCGCCACCAAGAGTTTGCCAAGGAGAGTCCATTTTTTAAGTTTATGGTCGACAAAACAGGAACAGTTTGAGTGAGTGTCAGTGCACAACTTGAGCTAATTTGTTATAGATTTGGGCATATCGTTCTGCCGCCTTACAAAAAGCACCATATTGATAAAAAGAAAACAAAAGGGCAAACAGATACTCAGAAAAACTAACAATTCAAATGCCCCACGCTGCGAATTTGTCCACCCTCTCCCACAATGCACTGGGAAAAATGAACTCTCGGTGGCAAACTCTTGGTGGCGCACTGCATTGTGAATCACCCAAATTAATGGGACCGGAACTGTACTTCTTAAACAAAATTCGGCTACGACAAACCTTGTGGTTAGTTTCAGCTCAGTTTGTATTAATTAATGGGAGTTTGTTTTTTGTTGTGGTTTTTTGCAGGATTCCTTGACATTCTCCAACGGTTTCTACGACGATGACGGGACCATGTCAGAGATGGACACCCAAGCCACGGGCTTCCAACGAGGGGGCAGGGTCAGGGCTAGCCTGCCCATCTCCAGGAATGTCGTCAATAAATCCAAAGAAAAACCACTGGGTAGGTAACTGTCTGGAAATCAAGAAATGTGGGTGATTTAGTCAATTGTCTAAAAATCGTAAATACATGTATAGTGCTTTGGTTGAAATTTTAATATCCAAATTTTTTTAAAAAATTTTAATTTTGGTGTTATTATTACATTTGAACAAAATGCATGAACAGCAGATGATCCTATGTGCCTTCAAGTCACATCAGCCTAATGTTGAAGTTTTTCACTTTTTTTTCCCCCAGGCCTTGTATACCTCAACTACATGAGCGAAACCAAGCGCGCCCTGATGCCCAACGAGGTGACCGGCATCGACACGGTCAAGGCGCTCTTCGTCCGCGCGTTTCCGCGGAAACTCACCATGGCAATGCTGGACTCACCACAGAGGAAAATCTACATCCGGGACGACGCCACCGAGATCTTCTACGAGCTGGAAAATTTAGAGTAAGGCCGCGTCAAAAACTCTTGTCTTATGGGTTATGTCGGGGGTTATGTCGGGGTTAATGTCAGGGGTAATGTCTACCGGTAGGTACTGGACGGTGACATCTTGATGCAAACTTAGTGACAAAAGACATAGCTGTAGCTCTAACCATTTTCATGGACCCCAATGTATTCATTATAATGGTGTTCTACTGTAGTACGAGTGCTAATGGGTTCAGTGTACAGTGATTCAGGGCCGGGATAGATATGTACATGTGTATATGTACATATGTATATGTACGCCTTAACGGTGTACAGATTTCTGTGCTCCTAGCTGACACAAGAGGGCGCCATCCATATGTTACGTGTCATTTAATTTTCTCTCCGTGCAAAGCCATCAGTGAAGGGCCAAACCCATATTAAAATAAAAAGTCAAAAAAAGCTCTTGAATTGTTCATATTCAGATTTGGCATTAACAGTTTACAACTGATCTCTCCTCTTTGAATTAGTGAGGTTAAAGACCGAGTCATCTTAAAAATCTACGAGCCGGGCTTCGTGGAGGATACCACTCTAAACATCCGTAGCTCCACCTCCACCCCTCTGGACCTCAACGTCTGCTCGGACTCGGAGCTTGCCGACATCGAGCTGCCGGACTTCAGGGAGAGGAACTACAAGACCATGGGGTCCAAACCGGCCGGAGCCGGCCCCAACCGGTTTGATCCGCATATGAAGCGGCCCAATAGCACCACACCTATGGATATGGGCAACAGGAGAATGCATCACCAGCAGGTAAACATCAGTAGCTAGTGATGAAAACAGTGGTCGGATCAAACCAGTTGAAACCAGTTAGGACTGGTTTGATCAGCATAAAAAGTGTGGGAACAGTACATAATGATGAAAAGAAGGTTCAGCTTTAAACCAGTTGGAACCAGTTAGGACTGGTTTGATCAGCATAAAAAGTGTGGGAACAATACATAATGATGAAAAGAAGGATCAGCTTTAAACCAGTTGGAACCAGTCAGGACTGGTTTGATCTGCATATCAAACTGGCTTGGTTTGCATTGCCCAAAAGCACAAGTCCATAGACTTACAGCAGAGATAGCAAGATTGTTAAAATATGTCAAAATGCTCCACCATGCTTCTCCAGGGCCCAGTTCCATTTGCTGATAAATGTATAAAAAAGTGGCTTCTACTTCATACACCTGCAACTGTTTACATGTACATTTGTACATTGTCATTAACCATTTCATTAACCATTTCATTTCATTAACCATAACAGAACTCAACCTATCCAACCCTAACAGCATGTTTTGTTGGAATCTGTCAGGATGGGTACAGTACCCCTAAACTGACAGTCTTTTACATTGGGTTGGCACACCTCCAGAATCAAAGCCAGAAATATGTGTGTGCAGTTTTCCACATGGTGTCGAAAATTTGCCAGGATGGGTGTGGTTCCTAGTAAATCAGGCTCGGGAGTTATGGTACGGTTAATCACCTGATTCTTAATATCATTCCAGGCTCGAGCCAACACCAGCATCCCCCTGCGTTCCCCGCCCAACAACGAGCCCTTCCAGCGAGGCGCCCCGGAGCGCTCCACCGCCCCCGTCCATCCCTCCCAAGGCCCCTTCCCCAGGGGCAGCCCCCAGCGCCTGAGCAGCACCACCCTCCCGCGCCAGCAGGAAGGGCGCAGGACCCCCACCAATGGGCGCAGCCTGACCATGCCCAGGCAGGGGGATAGAGGGCGGGGTCAGGGCTACAGACCCCGCCCAGAGCACGGCGGAAGGCAGGAGGAACATCGGATACAGAGCACTGTACAGTCGACTACCATGGGTAAGTTACCAGTTTTAAAAAAAATTTTAAAGGATAAACCCAAACATAGATTGGGCCCAAATACAACCCAACACTCACAAATAGAAAAAAAAAACATAGCAAATAAATATAGTGAATACATGTAAACACTTCTGGTAGCTGCTCCGACAGTTTTGCTGAAAAATCTTCCAAAATCCTCCACTGTGCCGAAAAATCCATGGCATAGTTTTGGGGTTTGTTTCAACTTTCTCAGGGAGCTTAGAACCACGTAGAGCAAAAGTGGCCGGGCTTTGCCTAAACTCATTTTTGCAAGTTCCTCTGCAAAAAGGGCTCTTTTGAAAAATGGCTTCAAATTGGAATCTCACTTTGAAATGTTTTGGCTTGATTTCTGTTGGTGGAGCTCTGGAACGGTAGCCCAGATGACTCAGGTTCAAGTCTCAGTTCAATCAAAAGATCTCGCTTTCTTGTGGAACTTTCTTGTGGATATTTCATTTGCTAGATGACTTGGAGAATGGTCCATACATCTCTGTTTAAATTCTAGTGTGGTCAAAACTTCCTGTTTGTTTTTCTGAAAGTGTTTTCTTTTCTGTCTGTCGACAGCATCAGGGCCAGGGCAGGACCCATCCAGGCACCCCTCCATGGAGCGCCAGAGGGACCCTAACCACCCAGACTACCACCCTCCCCGAGCCAGCACGCCCCAGCAACATGGCAACGCTCGCACCCTGGACCGATCCGTGGGTCCCCCTCGAGGTCCGCCACAGCGTACCCAAGACCCCAATGGGGCACCACCTCCCCACAGGGAGGGCCCCAGGGGTCAGCCCTCACCCCAGGGTAGCCCAGTCAAGGCCCCTCGGGGTGAGATGCGGGCGGAAGGTCCACCGTATCCAAGGCAATCGCCGCACCCTGAGATGCAGGGACGATCGCCGAGCCGAAACTCGAGGTGAGTTGCACTTGTTGAGTTTTTTTCTTTTTAAACATTGTTTAAAAAATACTTCTTCTTTTTTTTGACTTGATGACGGATTTGCCATTGGGCGTCTCAACTACAGCAATCGCTTTGAATAATTAGTGGCAAATTGGTAATGTTATGTCTTTCTGTTTCAGTCAAGGAATGAGGCAACCCCCTCCAAATCACATGCAGCACCCGGGCCCCAACAGACCCCACGACAGAACCATGGAGAGACCCCACGACAGATCAGTGGACAGACCCCACGACAGATCCATGGACAGACCCCATGACCGACCCCATGACAGAACCATGGAGCGGCCCCGTGACAGATCCCTGGACAGACCCCGCAGCACACCCCCACACCGTATGGAGCACAGGGGACTGGGTCCCCCGCCAGCGAAGCATCCCCACCCCCCTCAGGCCAACGTCAGAGAGGTAGAGGCGAGGATAGTCAGACAGGGTCAGGTTTCGTCCTTGGCAGCACCTGAGACTGAGACCTCGTGAGTTTTCTTCTTTTTCCTACATTTAGATGATGTCTTAATTCAGTTGCTTGTGCCATAAAATGCTTAACATTCATGAAGGAATGGAACATTGCCCTATATTTTTCTGTCTCTTTAAAATGTTCTCTCTTTGGCCCTGTTTCCGTTTGTTTGTCACCCAAGAGAAAGGATCTCTGCCATGGAGCAGCAGATAGCCAGCCTGGCTGGTATGGTGCGCTCAGCTCTCAAGCCTGGCGAGCAGCCACCGCGAGGGCAGCAGATGCCCCAACAGCAGCCTCCGCGAGTGCAGCAGATATCCCAACAGCAGCCCCCGCGAGGGCAGCAGATATCCCAACAGCAGCCCCCACGAGGGCAGCAGATACACCAACAACAGCATCCCCCGCGAGGGCAGCAGATACCCCAACAGCAGCAGGCCAAGACCCCTGTACAGGTAAAGACAAAATAACTCACGGAAAGAATGTCGCACCCTGACGCCACTTTTTTTATCATATATCATATATCATCTCAGTGAAGGTCAGTCATCGCAAAAATGTTGAAAAGACATGAATCTGAGGCAGAAAAACTTCCGATTTTGTAAGGAAATACTTTGGAAATGTTCTTGACTCTCCATAGGCTTTGTACACAACTGCTGAAGTGGCGTCTGGATACTACATTCTTTCCTAACTCACTCATACAGGAAGGCAGGGTTCCCACAGTCATCAAAAAATCCTGGAAGATTCTGGAATTTAAAGCTATCGTGGAAAGTCGTGAAAAAAGTATTGGAATTTGGTATTTTGTTGCAAGGAGTCATGGAAAGTTGATATCCGAAGAAAAAAGTAATGGAAAGTAAAAGTTCATCCTGGAAAAGTCAAGGAAATTCAGTTTTCAGATTTCTGTGGGAATCCTGTAATTTGTTTTCATTTTTGTGTGTCAGACTCCCAACCGTAGCAAGAGTGAACTGACTGGCTTGAATGAGGAGATCATCCGGGCAACTCAGAACCAGAAGACATTCACAGCTGTGGACAGCTACAGAGGTAAGGATCTGCACACCCAGGCTTTCAAGTACTCCTTTTCTCACTTTTTCCTAGTTTTTTTACCTTGCTCCTACTTTTGACTTAAAATTCCTACTTTTTCCTACCCTACTTTTTCCTACTTTTTGTCCCACAACTCCGAAAAATGAAATCTCATTGAATATATTTCATAGCAGTGTTACACACTGTCATATGTAATCACACAATGAAGGGCTTGGGCGCAGGAGTACTGCAACTGTACTTCCAAGAGCTTAGTTGAGGATGGAGCACAAGTGTTGTGAGTACAGAATATGCCAGATGAGGCTTATAATACTGTGGACACAAGTATCAACGAAAACTCTGAAAGCCCGCAAAAGTCCTACGTTTATCCTGATTTTGTCCTTCAAAGGCCTACTTTTGTACTGTTTGTTAGAAAAATGTTATCCTAAGTATTCTCCTACTTTGTCGTGAGTCTGCTTGAAAGCCTGCAAACCATTAAGTAATAATTCAGTATCTAAATTCAGTCCTCTTTGTTCCTCCACCAGATGGAACGGACAGTCAGTCAGTAACCCCTCAGCCCATGAACGGCAGAGAGCTGCGGGAAACAACGCTGAATCTCAAGCACACAGTCAGGGACCTGAGGGACCAGCTCAAGCAGATACGCAAGCTGCAGCTCAATATGGTAAACTTGAGTCCTTGCAAGCCGCCATCTTGGTCTAGTTCCCTTTACATCAAGATATGTGTGTGATGATGTCCACCAACCACAGGGTGCACTGGGCCTTAGAGGCCACTCTGGCCTGTAACAACCATCCTATCAGATCCTGTAAATCACCTGTCTCTCTATACCCTCCCTCAGGTGCAAGACATGAATGTGGCCTTCAGGGCCGCCAATTGTCAGGTGCAACTGGCCTTAGAGGCCACTCCGGCTGGTAACCAGCATCCTGTTAGGTCTGATAAATGTTATTCGTCTCTATCCTTACTCAGGTCCAGGACATGAATGTGGCCTTCAGGGCCACCAACCGGAGGGTGCAACTGGCCTTACAGACCACTCCGGCTGGTAACGAGCATCCTATCAGGTCACTGCGGACTAGGACACACCAGGACTACGTCAAGTACCACATGAGCCGAGACAAGTTGGACAAAGAAATCAGGTAACGCAATGAACACATGTCCAATACCACTCTATACTATCAGCCTAAGAACCTACGAAGATGTTCCAGATCCAAGGCTTCGGCAGTCTGTCCGACCACACAAATATGGAACTCTCTTCCTGCCTAAATACCCCGTATCAGGAAACTGGCCAGCTTCAGTAGGGCAAATCACTATCTGGGCGACAAGCCATCAGCAGCCTCGATTTATCAAAAATGTTTCTTGCTGTAAAGGCCCAGAAAGCCTTGTGTTAAAAAAAAAAAATTTACAGGTATTCATGGCTGCCTGAATAGTGTCAAATCCAGAAAAATGTCCCAAGCATTGCACTTGTCTGGTGTATTCCAAGCCTTTAGCTGTCTTCTCAAAAGATGGCCACATCATGTGGTTACCATCTCGAAACAAACCCCTGACCCTCTGCCTTCAAGAGAAAGCACTTTTAAAAAATGACTAACTTCACAAAAGTACGGATATTCTTCTATTGATGTGTCACTTTGATTTTCAGAGACTTGGAATCGGCTGTGGAAGAGATGCGCGACGATGTCGTCAACCGACACTGCCACGTCAATTTGGCCGAAGTGGACGCCCTGGCCCAAACCATCGGCAACAGCAGCAAGCACATTGCTGAACAGAAAGGTTTGTCAATGAACTAATCTTATCTGAGAAAAGAAATAGTAATGACTGAAGCAATTAAACCTCCACAATAATGACTAATTTCATATTAGTTCCCTTCAAAGGAGTATCCATTGCTGTATAGACTTACCTGGTTCTCACTAATCCAGTGAAAGAGGACAATGCAAAATTAAAGGAGTAACTCAAGGTTTGACCCTGAGGTACCCCTCGTTAGAAACGAAACAGTTCTGGAAACTACTTTCCTCGATAACATCCATAGCATCATTGCTCAGAGACACCACTCCCTCTTCGGGCATATATCCGAAGGCTCCCAGAAGACAGGCCCAGACACGCCGCTCTCAACGTGCTTGTGGGTGCGCCCGACCTGATCCAACCTGGGCTAGGCGCAGAGGCCGACCTCGCAACACCTAGATGCATCAGCTCGAGGTAGATCACGAGGCTAACTCACGGCAGCTGTGGCATCTCGCTACAGATTGTCGCACCTGGATGGCTCTACAGTCGGGTACAGTGAACGATGCCGTTAAACTTTGTAAAACCTCTTGCAATCATACACATGCACTCGATATTCCTTCAAAAGTATTGAAAATTACTTATCGTTTCAATTTGTTTTATTTCGTAGTTGCTTTCCCAGTCCTGGCTGACAAGATGAAAGGTGTGATGCAGGGAGAGATGGAGATTGTCGTCAATGAAGAAAAGTAAGAGGCAGTCTAAAAACGACCTTTTTTTTCACGCTTTTTCTTTTTCTTACATCGGGTTTTGACCTTCGCCGAAGTATGTTTTAAACACTGTACACTCAGTGTTGTCTGAGGGCTTGTGAGAAAAATTCACAAGCTTACTCGGATTGGACCCACAACCGTGGTCGCCTGGCCGGGGTCGGCTGGCTGGTTCGAGTCTGATGTTGTAGTGGAGATAACAAGATAACAGTTAACAAGAGTACAAAAAATGTTTTGTTTCTTTGATAAAGTTTCATCAAGGAAGAGCCAGGCAAACTGGACGACTACATGAAACGCTGCAAGAAGGTCACCAATACTCTCTGCACACTAAAGAGGTCAGTTCCCATCGTGTTAGTTGTGCTTCCCCGCTGGTCATTCATCTTTTTGGCTTTCCCCTTCTATTCCTTGGGGAAATAGTAGCTACTTGTTGCTCTTCTGTTGACATTTTTCAACAACAACGTTCGGTACATTTTGTACACAAAAATCGGGAGCCAGGGACGATGTTCGGTATAGCTGAATGTTCGGTATAGCGGTGTTCGGTATAGTGACGTTCCACTGTATAGTATCCTGAAGTTTGCTGCTTCGTATCTTTCATTCACTTACTTATTTAGCCTGATATTGATTTTTATTTTGTTCTGTTCATTGTTTGTATCAGGCTTGCCTCAGTTCAAGAACACCGGACCCCAGTGGTACCAGTCTTTGAGCAGACCTCCCAGCCAGTCAACCGAGTAATGGAGACCATCCAGAGCATCTCTCCTAACCACGAAGAGAGGGTTAAGAACCTACAGGCAAGGGCAAAGTCTTTACTTCCTTTAGGCTATTAACTCGAATCCAGATCCCTCGTGGAGAATGTTGAGGATTGACAAAGGTAGTGACCAACCATGTTCTTAAAGCGAATAATGTCTTGATTGCTTATGGTTAGGTTCTCTTTGCATACTATTTGTTTTCTATTGGTCAAATACCTTGGATGTTCTATGGCACTAACTGAAGCTGTTGATTTTTTTTCCTCTTTGAAGCCGTGAAGAACTCATTGAAGATCTCTTTTCATACCTGCTTGGTGAATTTTCAGCCTTACTAATGTTCCTATTAATGCTCTCAACAGACTGCCACTGCGTCTCGGGATCGCAAGCGCCCACTCAACACAGCCCAGGAGCTTCACCGTTTCCAGATGGATCTTGGCAAGGGCCGCCGGTCCCTCAAGAGGACCCAAAACCTGGACCGGATCAACCAGCGACGGAGGGCCAAGCTGCGGGAGCTCTACCAGAGCGAGGAGCACGATGCCATGACCCCAATCCTGACACCAGAGAAGATGGCCAAACAGGGGAAAAAGAAGACTCCACCTCCCCCGCCGCCAAAGAGGACCCATCTCTCCCAGCAGGCAGTGGCTTCTCACTCGCCAACGTCTCCCGTGACTCCAGGAGGTACAGCATCAGGACCCAACCTGACCCCGAAGCCCAAATTAGTGGTGACCACATCTGACGACAATGGCGAAGCTGTTCCGGTCGTCCCGCCTAAGCCGGCGATGATGGTGCCCAAGAAGCTCCCGCAACAGGTGGATGCTGATTCTAGTTCTGCACGTTCTGCCCCAGACCTTAGTTCATGCATGATTAGCACGTGTAGTGTGAATTCCGAGTGCCTGGTCAGTCCCATTAAGGGCCAAACCCAGCCATCGTGTGCTCTGTCCCCCTCAGGTTTTAAGAGTGAGCCCTTGCTTGCCATCTCAGAGATTGTCCCGAATAGCATGACTAATCCGAAACAGGAGATCCAGGCAGTTAAGGGAGTTGGTAAGCCTTCTGGAAACAATTCTCCCCGGCATGTTTCTCATCCTTTACCAGGAACTGTCATGACCTCCCAGAGTATGCAGATGAGGTCACAGGGTGGTCAAGCAGCGCCCCGGCCTGGACTGACCTCTCCCAAAGGTGTGACCTCCCCTCGGGGGGTGGTGACTCCAGAGGGAGGGGTCATGCTGTCCCAGGGGGCGGTGATGATCGCCAAGAGTGGGTCCGCTACCTCCCCTGGCCTGGCAACAACCCCGCAGCGCCAGGCACCAGTCCGCCTCCTGAGTTCCAGCTCCCAGGCCAGCCCTACCAAGACCAACTCCCCAACATCTCCACAATACAAACAATCGGGCATCCCTGTTCTCAAACAAGCTCAACATTCCATCAGGGTCCAACAAACGACCAAAACAAAGGTCATTGAAGGAGTTAACCAGAGTATGCCCTCTTCCAAAACACGAACCCTTCCAAGTAGTCCGCCAAGAGATGTGCTAACCCAGCGGCGGTCCAGCGTTCCTTCAGCAATGGATATTGCACCCCCACCGAAGCCCCCGAGGGGATGCATAGATGCCCCAAAAGATCCAACAGATGCTCCACCCCCCTCTGCCTTTCGCCCCCTTGCCATTCCAGGCTGGAAGGAGACCAGTTTAGATGAGTTGCCTCAGAAGAATAAACCACGTCGGCACACGGTTACACTCCCTCAGCATCCCAAGCGCAATGGGTGGGCACCACCAGTCACTGATCATCCCGTTAACGGCTCAGTACAAAAACCTCAGCCTGGTCCCAGGAGCACATCTCTACCCCAGCAGAACGGCCCTCTTGACAGACGTGATGTAATTAATGAACCAAAAGCAGCTCCTGCTCAAAGGGGTGTCTTGAGCAAATCTCAGTCAGGGACAGATGGTCAACTCAATGCAGAAAAGCGATCCTCCTTGCAGAGGCAGAATTCTGACCCAGGATCCCGCCCGGTTGTCACAATTGTCGACAAAAAGGGAGCCCTCAAAATCCAACAACTGAAGGAGCAGTATGCCAAGCTCCGGAAGCTCCAAGAGGAGCAGAAGAAGTTGGAGCAGCAAAGCCCAAAGAAAAGCCCCTCACAACCAGAAGCCACTCAGCCAGAGCAACCTGTTAGAGAAAGCACGTCAACTGACTTGCAAGCCAAGACCCCACCCTCAACAGCCTTAGAGGTTGATGTCTCATACAGCCAAGGGGAAACGTCCAGGACGGAGGACCAAGATGAGGTGACGCCCCTCCTCTCCCACAACTCTCACCCTCCTTCCCTTCTTGCATCTCAGGCTGTGCTGCCGCCTCCTTCGCACGCCAACTGCCTCTCGCTCATTCAACTTCGCACTCACTCAAGCCCCACTAAAGCTGGCTTTAAGAAGATCTTTAGCATTTAAATTAGATTAATCCAATATCCTCAATAACATGCACCTTGAAAGCCATCATGTTTGGAACAATTTCATGATTTGTTGCAAAACAAACTTTAATCAAGTCCTTTTTCTGTCAGTCTAAGGTACATTGAACATTCTTTAGCACAGTGAACATAATAAAAATAACATGGCACACGCAAAAAAAATAGGAATGTATCATTTGCACTTGTCACTGTCCCTTAAATTCTACCGAAGACTAATTTGGTGACCACAATGAGAAGCAAATTTTTGAGGCAGAACCAGGCTTGCGCTCAGTACACACGCACTCCGGGCTCCTTCAACCAATAGGGTCAACAAAATATGCGCGCCTCGTCTTTAAGAGCGCGAGTGGCATGGGCCCGGACGTGGACGTGGTTCCACCTCAAAAATGGCTTGTTATTTTGTTCGCCGAGTTTAGTCCGTACCAACAAGTTTGATAGCTTTGTTCCCAAAGACTGCTGTGCTCTTAACTATTTTCTTGTCAAAGAAAAAAAAGCTTTCTGCCATTGCTGGTGTATGCTCCTTGTAGCTTTATCCTTCATAACACATCTTTAATCTCTTTTCCCTTTTAAAGGTTCTTGCCAAGTAAACTTACAGTTTCCCAGGGTTCCTGCACCTGCTCAATAACTTCCTCACGGAAATCATGGAAAATCCATGTAATTTCAATGGGAAAATGAGGATAAAATGGAAACAAAAACATTGAAGCCTTAAAAAGTCAAACATTTGAGACAACTGTTCAAAGATTTTTTAACCATTTTTTATTTCCTTTTTTCCCCCTTTTACTTTCAAATGGACATAAACTTTCAACTTTTTTCCTTTTAATTTTGTGAAAACTGTGAATGTATGACTGATGATTTAAAACGTCTGTGTGGAGTGTTCCATGTCGTAATGTGTCATGGAGTTATGTCCATTTGAAAAATCTGTTTTCCCAGAATCAGTTGAAAACTGGAAATTGTTATTAAAATTGTGCAGGAGCCCTGTTTACCCCGGAATGGCCCGTATAATTAGACGTAACCACCCCAATGTAAGTAGACACTCGGTCTCTGGTGGTCTGTATTTGGTGGTGGTTCGAATCCCCTTTTGTCTTTTGCTTTGCAGCAGTTTGTAGTTGTTTAAGTGCACTTGTGTTCCAGTGCAACAACAAAGTATTGGTCCTTTTTACAGTTATTTTTTCAAACTTGGATATTGTGGGGAGATAACAACCATAACCTTCTCTTGTAGAGTTACTTGAAAAAAAAAAGAATCGAAGCACTGTTAATAGTAATAATTGGTACTTAGATTGCGCTTTTAAGTGAGATCAAAGCACTTTACATTTCTTTACCCCTGATCATTGGGCCAATGAAGCATTTCAAATACAGTCTCAGTTCCCTGGGGAGTACACAGCTTGATGCTGCCATTTCAGCGCAAAGCAGCTAAAATCAATTACAATAACCATCTCTGCCCTCACAGGTACCCATTGATTCCTGGGTGGGGAGAAGCAATGAGTGACAAAGTGCCTTGCCCAAGGGCAAGAGCACCACAACCTGAGGCTGTTAATTTAACCTTCTCTAAAAGAGCCAACGATCTTCAAATTTCGAATCTTCCATCTTAGTACATGTTTCCTTTACTTTTTAGCACATGTTTCATCGTTATAAGTGTCCAATTCTGTACATGTTTTGCTTTTCGTAATGTAAGTATCTCAGCTATTTCAGCTGATAGTATTTCGTTTTGCAGTCATCTTTTTTGTCTTCATCAAGAAATATTGTCCTTTTTTAATAATTAAAAATAATTTATGAAAATAAAAAAAACTGGTATTTTCATTCAGAATATGCATTTTCCCTGTCCCTTTTTTGGTGGTGAATTTTAGTGGGTGTCAGAATAATTGTTATTAAGTCTGAAATTTCTGATAATCTGTATTTTTTGCCTGCTTCTAAATTTTTCGGCACGTGGTCCATATTTTTTGCTTTGCGCTTGAAGTTGTTGCAGTAAGCTTACATCAGCTCCACAGTTAGGCATTTTGGTGAGACATTTTGTTGCATGGAAAGTTTTTACTGCTTTTTGGCATGTGTCAATGCTTATTTGCATGTTACAGCTTCTTTCTGCATGAACAACGAACATTTGATTATCAACGAAATATGATATAAAGCATTTAAGATATCACCGTGAATATTTGAATTGATAGCCAGAAGAGTGATGCAATGATAACAATGATTTCATTGACAATAAATTTGTTTAACAAAGTGTTTTTAAGTTCCCATCCACCCAATTTGTTCCAAAAAAGCTTTTCCTTGTATCTTATAATATGCTTTTCCATTTTTTAAGCTATAGCCTACACAAAGCAAAACTGATCTCAAACTATATCCATATCCCTGGAATAAATATTCTATAAACCTATTACTGACTTTTTTCATGTCTTATATTCGTTTTAACCAATCTTTAATAAGCTGTAGTGAAAATCCATTCAAATTCACCCAACATAAATATTATTATGATTGTATATTGGTTTCGTAATTGAATATTCATGAGCTTTTACCTCTTCCCCAGGGGTTGGGGCAATTTGCTTAAACGCCCCCAAATAATTGAATCATGAATATTTATGTTTTCTCCTTACTGCATATTCATGAGTCTTTCTTGGCTCCTCCCACTTTTGCACTTTTTCTGCTCCTGTACACCTACATGATATGGCTCCTTTACTGTCTGGCATGTTACATATTCAAAATCGTAATGAAAATCCATTCGAATTCACCCAAAATGAATATTTATCACTGTGAATGTATGTTCTTTAAGTGCTCTCGTAATTGAATATTCATTGCCACTTTTCCCTAAACGCCCCCAAATAATCAATATTCATCATGAAAATGAATGACCTCTCCAAACTGCATATTCATGAGTTTGTCTTGTCTCCTCCCACCCAGGGCTCCAGCTACACCAAACAGACTGTAGTCTACCGAGCGGGCCCCAAACCCTACAGAACGGACGACAGGAAACTCAGCGGGTCATCTCTGGACGACCTGGATAATACAACAACCGTGATCACCACAACGAAAAGAGAAATTATTGCGGATAGGTGAGTTATTATTCAACTTCAAAAAGTTCTTTTGTGGAGCACAATCAATCTGACTTCATATAAACCAATTATTAGGTTCATAGGAAATAAAGGAAATAATCTTCTCCTTTTTTTTATTTATATATTTATTTTTTACTTGTATTCTATAGTATGATATTTATGTACTACATGTAAATCAAATTGAATACCATGCACGTTTGTAGGGCTTCACAAGATTTAATATAGTTTATACAAGGTGCCTTTTGTGAAGACTTTCAAAAACTCACAATACAGGGAGATGTAAAGCTACATGTTTGGATCTTACAAAGTTCTGAAATAGCTGCAAAGTTCTGTTAATTTTTGTGCATCTTTAAACATTCTCTGGCACTCCCATTATAAGCATACCAGTACCGACTTTCTGTTCAAAATCACCTAATCAAAAATTATACAGAGACTGTAAATACACCTCTTTTTTTAAGATCATATACATTTCTTTTTGACTGCTTCTGTTAATAAGCGAGACCTTATATACTTTTTAGGCTTCATTTAATGCTGACTGAATAATTTCATCTTTTTTTCAATTAATTTATTCTGGTCATTTCCTTTCTTTCCCGTTCTTTTCTACTTCTTAAAGTTCTCTCCCCCAATTGTCCTTTCTCAGAGCCTGAAAACTTCCCAGATTTCCCTGCCAGACAAACTCTCAACTTGTAGGTCTTCATCGTGTTTTTTGTTGTTGTTTTTGGTTGTTTGTTTTTTCCAAATTCTGTTTGGATTTTTTGACTGTAATGTTTCACTGTGACCTTTGACCCCAAAAAAGCTGCTCTATATTTTGGTGTGCTGTGGAGATTTTTATTTCTTGACAATTTTTTTTATGGTTGTCAGATTTATATTGCGATGGTTTTTATTTTTCTGTTATTCCACTTTGAGTTACTTAAACATGTTTAAAGTTCTTTTCTGAAATTTGAATTTTTAAAATCTGTTGTTTTGATGAAAACAACAGCAACAAAAACTAGATTGCATGATAGTTACGTGTTGCCAGTGTTTTCAAAGGAGCTTTTTTCTGTGTTTCAGGCTCATTCAGTACCTTCTTCAATAAAAAAGGTTGATCCCAAAGATTATAATAACTGCACTTAAAATACGTGCAGTTGCAAATCTGCAGGGTTCGACCTTAGCGGTAGTCCTCTCGCCAAATGTGAGTTAAAATTTTTAAAAACTGGACTCGTCAAAACCAGTAGCCGCCTGGCAAGTCAAACTTATTGTAAATAACATTATCGTTTAGGATATTCTGGTGACAAAATTTTTAAAATTCTAATGCGGACTAGTGAAAAGGCCTGCAGACCAGATGATGTATACATGTATTTCACTAGTCCAGCTGGCTAGTGAAAAAAAAGTTAAGGGCCAACCCTGATCTGAGGGTATGTGATGAACGGTACTGAAAGGGTTATTTGCTTTGGGAAAATGTTCTTATTGTTAGTAGTGTGAGAACTTTGATCAGGATTTGTTTCTTTGCAGTTTGTTGTAGCGATTGAGCCAATGAAGTTCTTTGTGATTTTATGCCAACCCCTTTCCCGCAGATGGTTTTACTGACGATAGATTTCTTTGCCCTTAATGCGCTCAAAACTTTTGTCAAGCTAACCTCATAATGGGTTTGATGTCTTTATGCAAACAAGACCTAAAATCTTCAGTTACAATCGTGTCTGTTGCACATTCTTGCCTGTGTTTAACCTTAGGCATTATATATATAGGGATTCGAAGAAACACACTTACAAAAAGGTGGCTTTATGTAGGCTTTACAGAGACAGTGTTCCAAGGTATTGCAACTAGAATTGTTGGTGCATTTTCACCATCCTTGGGGGCCCAGTATGCATTGAGGCACGTAAGATCATCCCAAAAAGTAATCTAGCAAATTATCATAAAAAAAACTTATTTGCATTCAAGATCATTCTAGTACTAAACACCCCATGCAATCATTTCTTCTGGCGTGCAGTCATTACGAAGAAATCAAGAAATGTAGTTGATTTCCAACGATCAGTCAATTGACTGATCGTTGGAAATAAAGAGTTCTATTGACAAAATCATGTTTCGTGATCAAAAGGTTGTGCATGGTTTTTCAGTGTTTTTTCTTGAAAAGTGTGATATCCACTTAGTTGAAACTGCAACAGAATAGGATTGAACACATTCTTTGGATTGTGAGTGGCGATATTACTGGCAACAAACAAAATGCATGAAAAGCAAATGTTCCTATTGCCTACAACTTAAGCCCGGAGACTGCATGAAATATGGCCTAAAACTTTACGTCCGAATTGCATGACTATGTGTATGGTGTGTGCTTGAATGTTCACCTTTTGTACCGTCTGTTTTTTCCCCCCTCTGTTTCATCCTCTCTACTACAGCATCCCCGTCACCAATGGTGTGGTCCACCAGCCGGTCTTCTCCCAGTTCAAAGTGCATGAGATGGCCCCGCGGAACTTTGCAACCAAGGCCAAACCGGGGGTGTCCCCAAACCCACAAGTGACGGTGGTGAACGGTAACGGTATTGAGGATAAACCCTCCCCTAAACCCAACGGCGAGACGACGACTATTGATGTAAAAAAGCCCAGTTCCGAAAAGGAGGCGGTAATCCAAAATGGAGGAGGGAAGCAACCACTTACAAACGGGGGGAGTGATGTCGTGGAGGGGCAAGGAGAACGGGTTATTGAGAGGACAGAGACGGAGGTTAAGAGGTTTAACGCCGTCAACGCCAATCTAAACGGGAAACCGGAACTGAAGACAGTCTACACCAAGAGACTGGAGGAAACATTCATCTTTTAGACAAACAAACAAACCTCTTAGACTGGAGTCCTGTCCTCATAACGCACGTGTACATGAGGACAGGCAACGGCCTCATGCTTCTGATATCTTATTGGTTGCTATGCATCTTGGCTGTGACACCTCCCCTTAATGTTGATTGCCCTACTTCTCATGTGCACTCATGCGTCTCGCTCATTGCCGCACCTCATTGGTACAAGGGTAGATATTTAAATTAGGTTGACCCCTACGTCAAAGGTCAATCTGACAATTGACAAGCTGGTCGGTATCAGACTTTAAATGGCTTTTTGGAGTCCGCGTTCGGACCAACACACTCCAAGCTGTTATGCAATCCTTTCAAGTTCATAAACTGCCCAGGAATTCGGGCAATGATATTTATACTATTACAGAACCTAAAAATGTATTTAAAAAAAACGGTTTTACTGAACACTTAAAAACCCTTCGAAATAAATATATTTTCTTAAGTGAGATTTAAGTAAGCTCTTTTTGGAAAACAAAAGAATATTTATCAATAAAAAATTGGGGAAAAAAATCTGTTTTCATATTTATTCATCCCCAACATGATAATTTGTCGCAAAAATTGTGTCCATCTCAGATCAAAATAATATGCATAACATCTCTTCAGTATTCAAATATATTTGTCCTAATTAAGATAAAGTATGTAAATTATGTACAGAGCAGCATGAATATTCAGTAGATGTGGTATCTTAAGTTATGCAGAGTTGTACTGCCTTTCCAATTTTCATACATTTGCTTAGTTGGTATGCAATCTGTTTTATATTGATTTTTGGAGGTTTTGTGTCGAGTGTTTTTCTGTGAGAATGGAGTGCCTTTAAACATCCAACCTAAACAAAAAAAATAATAAAACAATAATAAATAAATGATGATCAGTTTCTCTGTAGAACCATTACATCCAGAAAGAAGTTCTCTTTTGATCAATTGTAAAAAAAAAAATGCAGTTAAAAATGCAAAAACATAAGCAACGGGTGAATATATTTTATTTGCAAAAATACAGTGTTGTGGTGAAGATACAGTTGGTTTCATTCGCAATGCATTTTCTAGATTGGTGTCTTCCAGACGTTATCAAACCAACAGGGAGTCGTGTTTCTATTAGCTCTTCTCTGATTGGCTGAATAAGACATTCATGGGGCATTTGTTCTCTTCTCATCCAATCATTGAGATTGGTATTTCTTGTTTACCGTTCTGTGATTGGCTGACGTTCATTTTATTCCTCTCATCCAATCACACCAAATAGTAGTTTGCTGTTCCCCGATTGGTTGATTTGTATTTTCACTGGGGGCAGCCATCTTTGTTTCTGCCGACCTCCATTCGCGAGTATGCAGTTCGTGTCTTTGCGAAGTACCAAGTTGAAACCAATGATTTCAGGCACCATTTGAAAGAAATTTTCCAACTCGGAAGTAAATTCATTTGTAAAACTAGTCATAGAAGGATACGGACTGTTTCAGAAATGCAAGTAAGTATTGGATTTCGTAGAAAAGTAGGGCCTATATTTTAGAAAACTCACGTGAATTATTCATGTATTGATTGCTGGCAATTATTTTTGTGTTTGTTCACACACAACCAAAACGTTTGGGGGGGGGGGGAAGCAGAGAGCTAATGATTGCTGTAAGTAAATTCGGTTACTAGTTTATATTGTACATAGAGTTTGATGAAGTTTATGATAGCACTGTGTAAATCTTACTGGTCCTGTTTATAGTATAGAGTTATTCGGCGATTTTGGAAGTAATTTAGTTAATGAGACTTGAGTGATATATGTTGGAGTTGATCTTACAATGAGTGCGGTGAAATTCAGATTAAGTTCAATACAACGGCTCAGTTGGAGAGTTATTAAACATTAGCCGTTTCGGACTACATTTTTCATAAATTCACATGCACAGTGAATTGGTTCTTTATTGAACAAGATTCACTCAAACGATTTACATTGGAAGAGAAAGTTCATATCCAACCTACGGCTTTTAATGAGCAATAATTATTGTACTCTTTCCATCCCAATGACAGTGGTATTCCATATGCAGCTGCAGTACACTATGCATTCTAGCAGGTATTCTGTTTCAGCTGTTCATATGTTTTGTGCCTGGCGTATTACTTTATACCTATAGCAGCTTTTCACAGCTTACCCTGCTAGCCACAGAATTTCATGCTTACGATCACCATTTCGTGCTAACAACAGTGCTAGCAGAAAAATTACATGTACAATGTATGTGCTAATCCTATCCTGTGAGCACAGAATCATATCCTTAGTTACGGGAATTACGCATGCGCATAAGCCAAACTTCCTTGCTAACCCGTGAAATACGCTTACCGTAAGTACAGACTTGTTTGCTGCAGTAAGCGGGAATTTTTCGCTAACGGTAAAACAGAGCCATGAAATTGGGCCATGTTGTCAACCATTAATGTAAGTTGTATCTGGCATGTTTGAGATTGCCTATCTGCCGATAGGTTTGGCAGACAGTGCATACATGCAGGGCTAACTGGTCAAGGTACTGAAGTGCTGCTAACAAATTAGCTTAGCACAGAAAGAGTACGCTTAGCAGGAAAACTGATTAACTTTAATATGTAAAACATGATTTGAACCCTGGTTCGTATTCATTCAATACTTTTGATTTATTTGGGCAATAATATTGAATTTTTTTCAAGGAGTGTTATTTCTTAAGTATTCAATACAGTGCCTTTTTTGCTCTGACAAATCTTCCACAACTTCAAATACCTCAGCAAATAGTCTCTTCACAAATCGGACTGCAACATTAACAAACATCAGCTGAAATTGTTCAACTGTAAATATTATAAATAAACCGATTTGAAAAGCAAAAGTTTGTATTATAGATATTTCTGGATTTACCAGATATTTTGTGGTGTTTGAGTAGGTATCTATTGAAATCAAGTGTAGAATACTGTGTATTTCTAGACCCAGGTCCACGTTTTATTTGATTTTTATATTCATAGGGTATTCTGTTTTGTACTTTGTACGCATGGCATGCAGCAATTTCAAGTACATGTTCTGTATTCGGGGTTTTGGGCGTTGGTGTATTGTGTATGGATATATTGTACAAACGCAATTTGGTATGTTGTTGAAAACTGCAGAATGTTTGGGTTTTTGAAAGGCTGCATTTTTCAAAGTTTTTTTTGACGGCGGTACCGCGGTACGTGAATGTCAAAAGCTGTATAGAACTATGCAATTATGCTTTGTACTGAGAACTGGGTATTTCTCCCTTTTTTCGGCGAGTTTCTGAATGAGAGTTCGCTTCAAGAGTGGCATTTTAAATAACTTTTCCCAAATTTCATCGAGATTTTTTTATAATGGCCTTGCATAGGTTCAGTTTATTCTGATGTTTGTTTATGGGAGAAGCTAGACTAATGGGATTCTTTTTATTTACATACTTTTTCTTGCAACTCAGTGTTATGTATGTGTCTTTAGTATCAACTCTAAAACACTTTAATTACAAAATAAAGTTTATTTTGTTATTCAGTTTCATTTGGGAGGGTAAGCACAATATTTGTTTCTAGAACAAAGGATTTTGTTTATATTATGGAATAGGTGGATCTAATTTGTGTGTAAAAAAAATACCAAAAATGATGAAGTTATCTGCTTCATTCTTGCTTTGTGAAAACGCACGATTTGTTTAACAAAAGGAGATATGGCATTTGAGAGTTTGTTGTTTTTTCGGAATTTACTGTACAGAACGTCTATTTATTCAACTAAACTGATTAAAGCTGGGCGAATTACGAGCGCGGTAGTCTAACGTAGACACATCAGCGAACTTGAACGAATCCTGAAGAACAAATAAAAAGAACTATAAAACCGAAGTGAAGATAAAATAGGAACGGGTCTCGTTGTTGTGAAAGAGGTCAGCAAAATAAATGAGTTGTAGAATAAAACTGCGTTTATGGCAATCCTGCAGTGTCCAGTGTTTAATTTATTTGTTTAAAGGTTTCACGAAAGAGTAGCCACATCATTTCAGTTTACAAAGTTCATTTTAAAATGGGAGTTTGGTTAATAATTGGTGCATTGGTTCTCCTTGCCTTCCATTTCTGCGGCCCAGGTCCGAATCCCACTTGCCCAGACGCAGTTTCCAAGATTTCCCTCCTACCTCTTCAACTTACATTTTTCTTGATTTTCTTGTGGTTTCACAACCTCGCAAAGGTCACATGTGCAAAAGTACTTTTAACAAAGGTCAGTGTATAATTTGTAAATTACGGGAACTACTTGCCCAATCGTCTCCTGTTTTTGTTTATCCATAGAAAAGGGAAAAACATTTGGCTTGTCCGTAAGCGCAGGTGGAAAGCCAAACAATCTGATTGAATGAAAAGTTTAATGCCAGCAGCCAAGGTTGTGCCGATAAACGAAACAACGATGTAAAGGATGACACATCGGAAAGGCCGAATCAACAGGAACAAAGTAAATGAATTTATTTTGAAGGGCTTTTCTGTTCACAAATTGAAAGAATTCACAAACATCAAATCAACGGGAAATGGATACGCAGTTGTTTTTTGATATCCTTAGGGACGATAATGGTGTTTTGAAATGGATCATTGTCATGATAGTGCGCGTGCAGGAAACGCTGACAATGGGAAAGTACATCGTGTGAACGCTCGCAGATGTGGAGGAATTACCGCACGTGGAAACGCCCACTTGTGGGTTTATCGTAAATGAATAACAAAGTCGTCATTAATGTTTGCACGCCATTAGTGTAAAGAGAAACGACTAATGTTGTGATGACATTGTGGTCATTAGTTGCTATGTTTTAACTGGGCTTTTACGTGGGCGACGTAATTTGCGTCCCTAATTAGCCATTTTTGAAAATCTCGAATTCGGTAATCAACACTGACTGTGAAACTGCAGTGTTAATTCAATCATCACCATGCAATATCTACATTTTACTGTACCACTCGTCCAATATGTCATACGATTATTTAGTAATGCAACCAAATTTATGGCTTCTTATTTTAGACTGATACCAAGACAAACGCCAACATTGATATTGTCACTTCCCAAATAGAAGGCAATGCTCAACCTCGTCCCCAAGGCGTAGAACAGTACGCTCAGCTAAGCGGCTTTTCAAACTTGTCGCGAGGTTGAAAGCAGAACCTGTGAGCGAGGTTGGCTACCACTTGGTTTGTAGCCCTCAAGTCAAAATTAAGTTTATAGTACTAAAAACTATACTGTAACCAAGCGCGGCTCCAGGGGGGGGGGGGGGGGGGTTGAACCCCCCCTCCTCTGACACCCCCCCCCCCCCCAAAAAAAATGGCCGCAACAATCGGACATAAAAAGAAAAACCTGAAAGCCCATCATTTAAGTCTTTCCTCGATATTTTTTTCTCAATTCCATGGTGATCATTGCGATTCCAAATAAATCACATTAAAATGAGACAGGTGTTTTTGAAGATGCGTCGCCATCCACCATAATGCATAATTAATACGTATTCATTCCAAACTTGGACGGTATTGTTCAATATTTCATCAGGTTTTCAAAGTAGATCTGGCATATTTGGAAGGACAAAGGATTTGGTTTTTAAACATGGATCTATTTTGGTTTTGCGTTGGCGTCTTAAAAGGCGTCTTGCCGCGCTCTGATCTGCTGAAGTTAAAGTGAGGACATGTAGTGTGATGTGTATTCTTCCAAAGTGACAGAAATAATTTCCTCAATTAATTTCGGCATCAGTTTTCCGATCAGTTGACTGGCAGTTGGTTGTTTAGCCTGTCGACTGTACTGCAGGTTGGATGGTCCAGGATTCGTTGGTTTGTCTTCTATTTGGTTGACACTGCAGTCGGTCTGTTTGTCAGTGGTTTATTACTGTCCGTGTGGTGTATTTTTTTCTGTAGTTTGTCTCATGTTTTGCCTGTACTTCTAAGGATGGCAACTTTTAAAAGAAGTTTGCCTTCTCATTCGAGCATCGTGGGTTTTTAATATGAATTATCATGTTACCTGAATCAATGGATATTAAATGAAAATTAATTTTGGCCTTTTGAATAATAATTCATTTTCAAAACTCAGATTCCTGTTTACGGTTAACGGTGCTGTCCTTGGAAGTGCATTCACCTCTGTTCATCTCCTGGCTCGAGACGAACAATCGGCGTCTGACCATTAACCCTGAAAGGTGGAAGTGGCGCGTCTCTACTGGTCAAGCTCATTTCTCTACAGCCAGGACAGGTGTGTGCGGCCACACCATGGCATGAGTGACCTGCTGTTTCTTGGACTATGGCCGGGGAAAAAAGCCTGGTGTAATGTGAAAATCTCGACACCGCCAATCGCCACCAGCTCTCAAAAACGAGCGCGCCTGACTGGCGCGCCGACTAGCCTGGGCGGAAACATCTGAAGACAATGACCACAAAGTCAGGACTAAACGCGGGTGATCAGCGCTGGTCAGTGCAAGCGTGAATGGTCAGCAAAGACAAAAGGTTAAGATGTATTTGTACTCTGCGATTCGCATAAAAGGGAGAGTTTAGTTCCCTAAACATATTTTAACTCACTGGGCACATCTAATATGATACAGGGATCTCGACGACCTTGCATCGATTCACAATCAAGCCTAGCGCTAGCGATGAATGAACATGTCTGAAAACGGGGGAGAGGAGGGTTTCATAAATTACGGTAGTCCGTCTCTTTATAAGTATCTAGATCGGGATTTTGATAAAACGGGGAGGGAAAATGCAACTTCAAAAGGTGAGAATAGGCAACGCCCTCTTTATCCGGCGATTCCAAAATCTTATGACCACGCCCTGAAAATTAATTTTTTTTTTATGAGAGGCACCCATCAGATGCCCTATTTCAAGGACCACTCAAGGTGAGGGCTATATAAAGAAGGAATAGAAAAGAAAGAAATGAAATGTGTTTGCGGAACCTTTCATAAAATAAGTACATAGTACTTTCATAAAATGAGTACATACATTTACGCATAAAAAGACATTACAATCATGATGTAAATATAAGCCTTTACGCGTGAAAAGGGGATGGTACTTTCCATTGTAAACATTATATGAATAATTTTGCTCTCTATTACTTTGTGTCATTTATTGCAACATAATTATAGCCTATGTAATACACGAAAATCAAACTCTCATCATATCTACTCTTTGTCTCCATTTTGAAGTCCTTGCATTACCACAGAAAATGTAATGGTATGGTACAGAGGCAAGTACGTTCACGATCGAGCACTTTCGCCAGTTGGAAGTACCTGGTTCCAACGGTCAAGCATTGTGATGAGTAGGGTGGATGTGTTCTTCCTATAAAAACATTCTCTGAATCGGGCAAAGACGAAACTAGTATCGGCTTTAACCTATACTTTCACATGTGGAAACTCCTCAGTCGTCCTTTCTTACCACCAAATTGAATTGTTTGTTGATAACACTCCCCCCCCCCCCCTTAAAAATATATGAACCACGTAAATCTGACAGTGGCGGCTCTAGGGGAGTGGGGGAGGGTGGTAGTGGGGGTAGGGATCTAAATCGTGTCCAAAAAAAACCCAGCAAATACACGTACCTTCCTTCTAAACCCCCTCTTCGGGCAGCTAACACCCCCTTGATCCAGGCCTGGATCCGCCCCTTGCTTAGTGGCTTGCCATGCCATTTTAAGCTGAAAGAAGTAGTGTATTTTCCTTTTTGGTAACTCCAACGAAAAACCGAGTTCGGATCAACGTGAGTGAATGAAGATCTTTGTTTTAGAGTACCTCAAAGTGTGGATGCGAACCAGTGTTGTAGGTCTCGAGACCGGTCTCGGTCTCGGACTATCCGGTCTCGACTACAACACTGATGCGAACCGTTTAGTGAAGTTTGATCCAAGACCATTCGAACATGACCTGTCAAAAAGGTATCTTAAAAAAAGGAAAGCCGCCTGACTTTTCGATCTTAACAAGATCTGCTTCAGAGGGACTCACAGGCATGCAGGGTTGGGAGGAGAAACACAAAAAGGTATCTATATAGTTTCCCTTCCCAAAATTGAATGCTTTACCTTACATGTCAACTTTTGAGTCTGTGATTCCAAGGATGTTACAATTTGAACTACTGATCCAGTGTGATGTACCATTCGTTTACATTTGTTTTGGTTGATCAGTGTCGAATACCTTCTAGCACTCGAGACGATACCTGTGAAATAACCACAACTCATTCTCTCTTCGCCTGGCGCAGACAAGCTCGTTTGATACAGCTACGAAAACGGACAGGTGTTTTTGACAAAGGGCAGCGCGCGAGCTTTCTTTGTTCATTTCCGGACATCGGAGGGAGTCACAGGCAACCCGACCGGCGATGCAGCGGGATCTCGTGGGTCTACTACGGGTCTGGGGACGGCAGGTGGTTCTGGCGTTCCCCCGATCGTTATTTTGCCACGCTGGATGCGCGGACACCATCTCATTAGCAAGGGAGGATGGCCACAAGATGAGGGAAATTGACTTCCTATTCGAGTCTGCAGTACACTTTCATCACCGAGGGGGTGATTGTTGGGACAGGAAAGTGTAATCTAAGCTGTCTTACAAAAGGATCCTAATGATACTCTATTAAAACGACGACCTTCGGGTTTTTCTATTGTTGGAATGGATTTTGTGCTTCAATGCCGCGAAGCTACAAGTAGTTGTCTATGCGAGGATTCGGACGCGTGGGGAAAAATAGCGTCATTTATCCGAGGAAACTCCGCTCCCCCAACCGAAAGGCCGTTTTTCAATAATGCAACGCCGTTTCCCGTCACGTCCGAGCTCTCGTGGTTTCCTGAGAGATTCTTCAGAGAGACTCCATATTTCTATAAAAGCTTCGCACCAAGCCTCGTGAGCGTGTGAAATCACAGCTGAGGCGGCCGGGGGTGGAGTGCGTGCTTTGCGGGAGCCCGCATCAGTGAGAGTGGCCACTAGCTCGAAATCACGATGCAGCGATGTTGTTTCTTCTGCTAGTTCGTACTGAGGAACTTTGGCGTAACTGCGAGAAAGCAAACTTCCATAGCAACGAAAAACAGTCGTACTCCAAGTCTTGTCATATAGTCACTGGAATTTCACTGAAATCTTGCATTTATAGTGATTTTTCCCGTGAATGTAAAGATATATGCTTCTTTCAAAATACCAAGCGTATGTTGTTCTAAATTCGTTATGCATTTCTTTCTTTTTCGAAACAACAACTAAAAAAACAGAAATGTGTGTCAGTACCAAACTTTTTCGAACTGAAGTCAAATTTTACCCAACATTTACGCCAAAGTGGGACTTTTAACCAATATACCAGAAAACTAAAACTACACACACCTTCGAGAAGGAGCCAAAATGTTCCGTCTTGGTTGGTACGGCGTTCAGTGACAACCATCGGATTCAAAAACTGACCAGGTACCAAGATTTGAGGAACTGTGCAGGCAAGTGACGCCACTCCGGTCGCTCCTGAAAGATGTTGTTGATCCCGAAATGGTCACCGAAGACGGCGCGGAAGGGTCTGCATTCAAATGGTGAGTTTATTGTGTTTTGGTGGATTTCCATAGTGTAAAATTAGGCCTAACGCAGAAAACTTTCTTTGATCCCTTTTTTTATAGTTAGGCTACATTACAAATGGCATACAGAGAGTCAAATTTACTTCCACTTCTCCTGCTATACTTTTAACAAAGGCTAGTCACCAGCAGTCGGATGATATGTCAAGCAAGCACTGTGACTAGTCAAACTGGGTCAACAGACAAAGCAGGCACGTTGTGGTCACAGCTGTTTTATCACTCACCCGGAGTCAAAGCACAGCTGTATCAAGTTACTCAAGCAGTTCAAGTCAGTCAATCCTGCTTTATGTGGGCTGGCAATTCTTAAAGGTTGAAAACAGTCACTTGTTTGATTTTGACTGCAAGGACAACTTGGCACAGAATACATGTTTGCATGCCTGTCTGCGGTCTTACTGGAATGTTCTGTCATAAAAAGATCCCCGTCTTCCCCTGAACTAAATTTTATATAATAGAAACAAAAATAATTGACCAATCCTTTGATAGTAGTATGTTGATTACACACAATCTGCCATATTCCGCATTTGCCGTTTTCTCGTGCCAACCTTGTTTTTCAAATATAGTGCTACAGGCCTAAATATAGCAACATAATACGTTGGCCAAGAAAGGCGTGTGATTAAGCGTCATGTTAGCCTCTTAAACCAATCATTTAAGACGCCGAGATCTGCGGACGTGATTAGCACAAAGTTTCTTCGGGGCAAGGCCACAGATCGTCACAAGCAAAAAAGATGTTGTTTTCCTAGTTAGGGGTCTCTAATTTCTAGGACACCATTTTAAAGAAAATATACCAGGGTTTAATTTCTTGCCTTTCCTGTTCCCTTTATTTGTTTACGCCCGTCTTCAATATTTTCAGTTTTTCACTCTCAAACAATAAACTACCTTCTGTGAACGGCATAAATACCATTTGAAAGCTTACATACCAGCGGCATTGTCTACACTTCAAAAGAAAACCACCTGGTATATGCGTGCATTGTGTATCGGCACTTGGCAGACGAACAAGTTATGTTTTACCTTGGAATTGTGGGATAGCACTAACACGTTTTACAAAAAAAGTGGTATTGTTTCGCGCGCGCCCGACGTGCAAAACCTAAACAAATTAATCGGTTGTTTTGTTCGTTCGGCTCGCGTCAAATAATTACCGCAGTTCGACACATTTTGAGGCGAACTTCAGGGAACTTCAAGTTCCTACTTGCGGAGGATATAAACGAGTAGCCACAGGCGATACAGCTGGAGAAAAAATGCAGGACTTTTGGAAGGATTTCAGCAAGATTTCTCAAGAAGGTAAGCCGAAGGTAGCACAAGGTTGATTTCGTTTGGTACGATAATTTTGGCCAGCTTGTGCAGAAGTTGGGACGATCGTGTATGTACGGGCCCGGTTCCCTATAAGAGAACAAAATCCACTTTTAAATTATTTGACCTACCAAACTAGTTGGCGACATTAAGAACATGCAGGTATGTCATAGATAAAGGGCAGGGTTTGAATTTTTGAGGGAAATTGGGGGGTAAAATGACGATGACAACGACAAAGCGCAACACGAAAATAAAGATGGCGATCACCGCGCTATGTACCGTGAACGCGCAAGGTGCGCTGAGTCGCACGGCACCAACCGTAAACCGCGCAGGAAAATCGTAATTTCTACCCCAAGAAACTGTCTGGCAAAACTTTCTGCCATTATTTTTACCAGGCGGTAAAGTGTAGTCGAGTGCGAACGCGGCAATTTATTAGAAGATCTGGAATTAACTATTCGGTGTTAACGTTGGTTACCTTCGATGGTTACTGTCTTTGTGTACCGTTTAATAATAGGCCTACCAGAATTTCTTGACAACCAGAAAATTGGCCTAAGAACCAGTTTGGTAAAAATATGTTTGCTACAAACAATATGATTTCGCATTTGCAATTAATCAAAACATTGTGAAAATGAAGTTTCTTCCTTTTTTTCCTTGGAGTATAGTTAAAATTATGTAAATCTGATTAACCCCCAATTTCATAGGAAAATTAAATGAGCAAGTTAAATTCGTCTTTCAACCTAGTGGTACAAAATTCCAAGAAGGATTATTAAAGTTATTCGGTGATCTAGCAAAAAAAACCCACCCAAAAAAAAGAACAGGAAATGCGAGTATATTATGAAGTAGACCCTTTATGCCACTTTGGAAAGAGTGTAGTATCTAGACGCCACTTCTTTTGTTGTGTACAAAGTCTATGGAGAGTCGAGTGCATTTTCCAAGCATTGCCTAACAAAATTGGAAATGTTTCTCAGTCCCAGATTCATTCCTTTCAACATTGTTGCAAAGATGACCTCTATTGAGAGAATGATAAAAGAAAGTGGCGTCAGGATGCAATATTCTCTCTGCAACGTTCACAAATTGCAACAATCAGTCATCTCACATGTGAAACTGCGTGGGCAATATTATTCCACATCTACTCCATAACACCTCTACCCCTTTAAAATATGTTTCCTGTGGATAGGAAGATCCAATCAATTATGTGCGACTACCACCTGCAGAAGGTACCACTTTGACAGGTTCTCATAGAAATTCTACATGAAAGAAATCTCATTGTCATCATGTAACACATTGTGTGGGCTACTCCACACCTATTTATAAAAACTTCAGCGTTGGAAGTGAACTAGATTTTATTTGTTAATTAATGTCACTGTCTTGAGTTCAAATGCATGGAGGCAATAGCTACCACCCAATGAATGAACATGCTTCCACAATTTGTAAAAAGAAACAGTGAACTTCAATGTTGGTGTCAGCATATAAATGCTATCATTTCCTTAGTAATTTTCTTTTTCATTTTTTTTTTAGGGGAGGGTGTCAAGAATATCATAATGTTTTTGTTTTATTTGAACTTTACTCCTTTTTGTAGAAAACACAAAGGCAATTACATAATTCGAAACAATTAAATTGAAGTAACTATTTATTTATTATTAAACAGTTTCACAGGGATGGTATTATGGGTGTGCATTAGGACTGGTACGCGAGTACCCGACCTCTGATGACAGGAACCGGTTCCAGATTATGGCATTGGGTAGCCGTAACCAACTTTACAAATTACTTAGTAACTTCTCAGACAGTTAAAAAAAAGTTTAGTGTGCCATATTTAGGGAATTTTCAAAATGGAAATCAGGCTAAATCAAAACAAGAGTTCACATTTATGTGCATTTTAAAGTTGCAAATCCTGTCAACTGCACTGTAGGCCTACATATACACACTTGTATCTTACTGATGTGCACGGCCCAATTTTATAGAGCTGCTTAAGCACAAAATTTGCTTAAGCACGAAAAAACATTGCTTAGTAAAATAACATTACCGGCCAAAACTCCATGTGATGTACATTGCTTGTGACTGGTATTTAGTTGTTGTTTACTTAGCATAACAATCGCATGGAGTTTTGGTTGGTAACCTGATTTTATAAAGCAAGACTTTTTTGTGCTTAAGCAAATTTTGTGCTTAAACAGCTCTATGAAATTGGCCCCTGATTTTATTAAGCAAGACGTTTTTGTGCTTAAGAAAATGTTGTGCTTAGGCAGCTCTATGAAATTGGCCCGTGGTAGTGTTATCCTGCGCACCTTTATGAATAACCTGAACAGCAACTCCCGAGATTTGAATTTTGGGGCTGGGTTTCTCTTACGGATACCCGGGTACCCATGTTTGACTTCAATAAAGTACTGGTTCCTGTTCTACCCATAAATGCACACCCTAGATGGGGTATGATTAGTAAAGGGCCTCGCCCCTTCACTGCCATCCGAAGGGGGTCTACCAGATGTTCCCCAATACCCATGTTCCCCGAAATCCTCAGGATTTGGGAAAGGGTTAGGGTTATATCGTAAGGATTTCGGGGAACATCGGTATTGGGGAACATAGGTATGCACCCCATCCGAAGTGATGCGTAAAATTGCTTGCAAATATTTTGTCTGAAAACTGACCTACAACATCCCTCAATAAACTGCTCAAAGAAGTTAAGACCAGATTTTTTTTCCTTCCATCCTTTTATTGTCATCCTGGTATATAAACCGCTTGAAACAAGTTGGCACGCGTACCAATTAGTTTGTTTATCTAGGAATTAACGGTACATTAAGACACATGCATTCCAAAATGTAACGGGAATGCTTCCTTACTACAACCTAGCAGCCATGACTAGAATCTGAAATACAATGAAATACTTCCAAATCAGTTAGTTTCCTCTTCAAAAACATGGCCTCAGGGCATTTAACATCCTTTCAAATTGCCATTCCTGTAATTATAATTTCTTTAAATATTCACCATATTTAATATATTGGAGTAACTTAACATAACAAGCTGATTATTAAACTACACATTTCTTTTTGCTCACAAATTTTTAAAGCGAAAAATAGTTGTTTTAAAAAACTGTATTTAAATATATTGATTTGGTACGCCGTTTGCCAATTTCTCCTCTAATCAAAGGCACATTTGGGGACACATTTGCCAACTTTCACTTACATTTATTGGAAAAACCGTTGACCGTAAACAAAACAATGAAAAGTGGCCCCTTCAGAAAAGCAACCCAAACACTGAACTGATATAGTTTGTATGATAAAACACTGACACATCAGAAGTTGGCTACAAATGTAGTTTACAATAACTGATTAAAAGTAAAAACAATTGCTTCATATCTGTACAACGTATTATGATATTTTTAAAGCAGCTCCGCTTAAATGCCCCGCTTAAATTTTACATCTATACAGTTGGCTTCATAAAATCATAGGCAACTACATGTATATCACAAGATTTATAAAACAAACCGTTGCCTGAAATCTATCCTCTATTTTTATTCCTGGGTAGCAATCAAAAACAATATAATTTTTTTACAATTACATGAGGTGTACTTAATATTACATGAAAGAGTTGCAAAAAAATATATATTAAATTTGTAACTAGACATTTTACACAATTAAACCTTGAACAGACAAAAGTTTACCTGAACAGCTATTTTACTGTATTTACAACCAAAACGCTGTTACAGCATACATATGTTTTGCCAGAAAGTCTGAAGGAAAAGAGCTGCAGAAAATGCTTTTAAAAATGCGTTTTTGTAAGAACTATGAATTCTATTCAACTGTTGAGAGATTTTGAGATCTTTGTGGCAGCAAAGAAAGATGCTTTTGTTCTATTGTTTTCAGGTATTGTTGATGCCAACGTCTAGAAAGTATTATATAATACCCAAGTATTTCCTTGTCATTTGAATACAAGTTTTATCCACCAATCGAATGACAAAGATCTACTTGGATGTGATATAAAACAAATAATGAATGTTTTGCAATCGTGCAATTGAGAGAATAGTTTCATTCAGTGAAAGATGCAATGTTCCATTCAAATGGAACATTCCATCTTTCAACCCATGAATATTCTCAACATTGCACTCACAAACATTCATTATTTGTATATCAGTTATGTGAATTCTCATTGTCATCCCCTTCAGAAAGTTATTGTAAAATTGGTAGACTGAAAACTTTAGGAAAAGTAGCTCGCATGTTAGAGCGACAGTACAGTGTTCCAACAGTTACAGGTTCATGTCCCATCTTCATCAATTTCTTAATTTCAAGTTATTACTTTTTTCCTTCAGACTCCCTATCATGGCACAATAAACAATATTCTGTAAAATACAGAATAGGTCTACTCCAAGATTATCACTTTTGATGAATTTCATCAGAACTGAGTAACAATTATTCAGATGTAAGTATTAGTAAAACTAGCTATAAAATACATGCAAGCATAAACAATATACAATGTGACGTATGCGATTTCTTTAAATCTAACATCATCCAATATAGAATATTACAGAATTTACTATTTCTGATTACATGAAACATTACTTTCATTTAATATGATACAAATAGAAAGTTGTGATATAAATACTATCACTTTTTAGTTTCAGCAAGTGAACCAAACGTATAAATGTACATATTACTTATCGGTCAATTGCGTTGCCACACACTTTGATGCAATGATTAGGACGCAGTAATTACGATGCTTTTACTATGAGGTATATTAATTTCAGGCTGTTTTTTTAAAGAAATTATTTCAAATTTATTTTGTTTCACAATCTATCCGACATCGCAGCTACAGGCAAAGTAACTATCTACAATTTGAAATAGAAACAGCAAGCATGTGTGAAATACAGAATTATAAAAATTATTTACATGACATTTACAAAAAGCTCAAGATGCTGCACAGGTACCGAAACATGACCAAATAATGCAACAAATCAGAATGCAATAATAACAGAGCAAGATTCTTAATACGGCTAAGAGTTCAACCTTTTGCTCAAGAGGAGAAAATAATTCATGACCTGCTGCCAACCTTCCCCAAAATCTGGCAATTTCCCGAAAACTACAACAGGAAATGTCAACAGACCGATCCATTAAAGCACCGCACCATGACGTTTTGACTGTTAATGTCCGACATGCACTCACAGCTCAATAGTTCAGGAGTTGCCGCAGGCCTTCCTTGAAGAGCACACCTGTCACACTTCAGCCGCCTTTCTACACACGTTTTCAGTCCATTGTGGGTCTGTTGCCTTTTTCGGCCATTTCTAAACTGCAGGCTTAACTAAGAAATGGACACAAAACAGACTAAAGACGTGCATATGAGCAGGCAGCTCACAACTCATACAAACCCATTAAGGGTTCCTCATGACATCACCTCCCCACTTAGATTGATCCTAAAACTCTGACAGCAGCTTTTCTGTGTCAGAATCAGCTCAAATCTGGTTTCTGGACACGATTCTGGAATATTGTTTTCCAGCAAGTTGTGTCAGGATAAATCTGAGATCTTCCTTACCACGTTGCAGGAATCTTACTGCTTGAGCAGAAAGTTATTCACAGCAGGGTCGGATCCTCTTAACCCAGACTCCTCAAGACTTTCTTCCTAGAAACTTCTTGGATCTGCCAAAATCCAACAACTTCATACATGACCATTCAACTTCAAGCCCTGCGTAAAGTTACAGTGACCGGGCTCTACACTTCTTTATCCACCCGTATTATTAACAAGACTAGCTTGCATATTTGTGCCGGACCTGAAATCCTCAGTTTACGTCAGTCTTTCTACTCAGTGACTCAGTCACAAGGCAATAGGATTGTCTTTTGGTTCTAGCAAAAATCAGGTGTTGGATTTTAGCAAATTTTGTTGGAGGTTGATGTATGGGCTCCGTGCACAAGTACCCCCCTCAACGGTAAGGAAGGGAGAGTTTGGGAGACCGCTTAGAGTGACATTTGAACGCATTGCCAACAACGCCTGATGCTCACGCAAAGACGCTTTGCTTTGTGCACAGTCAGAATAAAAATAGTTGCGCGTACTTTGCGCACTACGTGCGTGCGAACCAGTACGCCCATGTAAAGTGTCCCGTCCACTTGGCTCTCGAAGATGTTAAATAAGCGCCCTCACTTGTTCGCGCACGGAGCCCATACAGAAACACATTCCCAACTAACTGTTTGGTTTCAGTCTTGTAGCTGTCGTAATGGAACGGAACTCTGCAAGCCTTATGCCTTTTGCACCTTTGTGATTTATCTTTGAAGCTAACTCGGACAACCTTTTCACAAGATTTTCTGTTGTCTTGCTCCTACAACAACATCTCTCGGAACAGCCAGCAGGAGAAAAGATGATCTTCTTTCACTGCTTGCTGAAGCGTAACTGAATCACAACAAACAGCAACTTGTTCAAACGACAATGACGGTGTTCCTTCAACCCACCAGAGGGTCATTACAAAGTTGCCACAGCTCACTGGTCGACACGGAGTGGATGTGGTCATGGCAGAGCTCCCAGTCAAGACGTCTGGCAAGCTCATCCAGCTCTCTGAAGGAAAACATGAAATATATAATATAAAAATATGAACAAATGCGCTAGAGTTACAGATCAAGAATTTCTGGAGAAGCCTTACAGACATCTTATACTGGACTTGTGTTCAAGTGACTTAACCTCAAGCATGATCTGAGTCACATCAGCTTTGTTTGTTAGGTATCAGTGTGATAACTGTCGGGCCACAGCACTGTACTTCCAACCAGAACCTCCCAAGTTATCTCAGGTTACCTGTGTAGCTGCATCACTACCATCTGCGCAAGAGGAATCAGGTTGTGAAACCTAACACAAGGCTGACAAAATGTGCCAATGTGGGAGAAAAATCTGGCATGCTGAAAGGACTAGAGCACACCCCATATCCTTCAACTATATGGCACTGTGGTCCAATAGTTACAGTGTTCGACTCCCTGACGGGGAACATGATTCGTGTGTTCTTGGGCAAAACACTTTACTACAATTGCCTCTCTACACCCAGGAGTGTAAATGGGTACCTGTGAAGGTAGAGACCAGATTGCGCTGATCTCGAGCTGCTGCAAAAACTGGTCTCATGGCCTGATGATCAGGGGTAATAATTGTGAAGCGCTTTGAGACCTTAAGTATAAAGCGCCACATTAATATAATATCCAAGTCCTTTAAAAACTCCTATAAAAAAAACTATAAAAACGTGTTCCACTTGCTCTTGTGGGATAAGTAATAGAATAGCCCTACCTTGTGTCCAGTAGAGGTGGTGTAGCTAGCATTCGGATGTCCTGTGCTTGCACCCATGCATCCACATCTTGAGCCGAGTTCACGGCCGACAGTCTTGGGCCATACAGCAACATACCAGTCCTAAAAAGGATTTTAAAAAATAAACAAATCACATTTAGTTCCACTGGAGTTCATTTTGCAGTTGGTTTCTCAAACAATTTCATAAGACCGAGAAAGCCACACTGAGCAGCCCGTCAAGGAACTCTCTGTAGACAAAGTGTGTCGTCGATAGAGAAATTTTTGTAGTATCTCAAGTTCTTCATAAACACTTTGCCTCAGTCACAAACAAAACAAACACGGTCTTACCTCAAAGTTGCCTCCTGCAAGGTCGGCCTCTCTGCTGGGTTGTCTCTGAGAAGACGGTCAAACAAAGCTTGCGCTTCGCTGGATAGAAAGCCAGGAGGCTTGGTGCATACTCCAGGTAACGAGTGGGCTGTCATCTCCGGTAGTGGCGGGGACGACTCCTCCACCGGCAGTTTTGTGAAGAGATCACACAGCATGGCAGCAGCGCTGTACATATCGGAGCTTTCGTACACATCCATGAGTGTGAGCTGTAGAGTGCACAGAATGAATTTAGGTCACAGCATTGACTGTTGAAATTTAATCAATGTAAAATTGTACCAAGAAATTGACTGGGGTGAGACTCAAACCTGCAACCGCTGGAGCACCATACTGCCCATTTCTTCAACCTCATAGTGAGAAACGGGTACTTAGTTGGTTTCCCGTTGTTTTTTATTTGATCAAATGTAGCAGTACTTTTGTTACAGTTTTAGACATTTTAAAGGTATCTTGTTGGTCAACAAAAACATCAACAATCGCCTTGGATGATACCAAAAGGTATGAACAGGCAACCTCTTCCTGGGTAATTGATTGGCTCTAAAGCCAAACAAAGCAAACATATAGCAATAATCAAAATTCAGAAAATGTTCATCAACTGATATAAAACTTTAACTGACCTGTGAACTGTTTTGGTAATTGTCATGGGGTTCATTTTTGTAATCGCTTATAGTTATTAACCCTAACCCTGCCAGACGCAACACAGTGCACCAGGTGGAAAAGAACTGGTGCACTTTGATGCATTCAGCTACCAACACCAGTGCATGAATGGCCAGTATGAGAGCCAAGTCCCATTGAACAGTGCCACAGTTGTATCTTGCTGCGTGCAGTGACCACGGACTCTGAGGCAGTGTGGCCTTGAGACTTTTCCCCTGATGGATCTTGCTACACTGGGCAGGCTTGTCACTTAGTTAAGTGTTGCACGTTGCTGTGCTTGGCAGGGTTCTAGCAAACATACCCTGGAGGGTTAGGTTTAAAGTAATTTTATCGTAAACCAAATACTTACCACTTTCTGCCATGACTTTGGTGGTCCGTGGATAGAATACTGCAGCAGCTCTGGTGACCATGCTAATGGATTACCGGCACTGATCTGGCTTTTCTCAACAAACGGTATTCCTTGGCCTTCATCATTCTGCAACTTTCTGGCATGACCAAACTCCCCCAGTACCAGTCTCATGTTCCAGTCTATGACTACGGCTTTGGCGTTGATGTCTCTGTGAGCTACGCCGTTGGCACGCAGGTACGACAGAGCTTTCAGAAGCTGTAGCAATAGTCGAAGTACGAACACCTCATTTGAATTTTGAGTGGGTCTGTGCGAGCTTGGGCGATCCACGCCTAGCGAGGAAACCAAGTGGTCCAAAGTCGTACAGTAATCCGGGAAGATGACCATGGCAGTCCTTTCTGACAACTGTCCAGAGTGGGCGCTGCCCAGAAGCGACGAGACGTCGAATAGATTGCGGAGTTCCGAGGTTGGAATGTCAAAGTGGTGGCATATTCTGGTGATGTGAGGGTGAGGTGCTTCGTGAAGGGAATTCAGAACGCTGAATTCAGCTCCCAAGGAGTCTGTTGTACACTGGTGGGTCGGCGGTTTTGGAGACCGTCTGTGGTTCATTAATATCTGTACCAAAAGTAACCAAAAGTTGTAGAATAAGGTTTGTTAGTCCCGACATAAAAATTTAGATTCTGTGTTGGGAGACCATAAGACCATGACAGCAGAGGTGCATGCATCTTTACACTTTATCTTCCACATGTGTTACTTAACTTCACATTCAAGTCTGTTTGTTCCTGGCTTTCCCTTGAAAGTTTGTGGTTTTTATTTTTTACCTCTGCCATTAAAAGCACACATCTTCGGTATAGTCTTGTTTCAACATTTTAAGTGAGCTTAGTACAAGACACAGGCATGCAACTGGGAATTTAGAAAAAAAAATGAGGAAACTCCAAACCACACAAAACTTTGTACAGTATTTTTCATTTGTAATGGCCTTAATGAGAAGTAAAAAACGAGGAAATCAGTGGATCCGACGAAAAGTTGCATGCCTGAAGACAAGAGTACCATAAGATCAACTTCTCATTGTTACTGGCGGGGAAAATGGACTCCTCGTGCAAATTAAAAAAGGTGCTTTGTACTTGCGTAGCCAATAACTTGCATTTTGTGGGTACGCGTAAGTTGCGCGCTTGTCTACATGTGGGGATCGACACCAAGCACCAGTGAGAGCTAAGTAGGGTGGTTCCCGCACCAACTATAACTTTCTATACTTGAAACAGAGGTAGGAACCAGTAAAGAAGTGAGAGGTCTTATTCCTTGTTGGTCTGTGTGGTCTTTAATGCATAAGGCCAAAAAAAAAAAGTCTCCGGTTTCTGGTATGCGCGCGCGTCGCCGTAGCCATGGGCGTGGGCAAAATGAAAAAGTTTTTTTTTCAATAAAAGATGATGTCTCAAAACCGCCAAACTCACTGGTTTGACTGGAATTCTGCTGCTGCACAATTTTAACGTGTTTTTAGGTGGGGTTATGGTCGAGAATAAGCTTTATGTGGCCTCTCTGGACTCCCAATCCCATATAGGCCTATTTGTACTAAGTTTAGTCAGGCACCATTTTGCTGTCATCAGCCGACATTTGAAGCAAAAAAATCAGGTAAAAAAAAAAAAAAGCCGCGTCGCCGCACCACTTTTGGGGCAAGCTCCATACCAGAAACCGGAGACTTGTTTTTTTTGGCCTAACGTAGAAGTGTCCTTCGCTGACAGCCATGTGTTGTACTTTCAGCGCAAACAGGGTACTTGTGCACTCTAAATAGAATTTACCTTCATGATATATGTTTGATCCTTGCAGAGTACCCGAATGCACATTTGAGAAATCAAGCCATCCTCGGACTGCTTCAACTCTCGGTCAACAGGCCTTCCATCCATGACCTTGTAGTCTTCCTCTAATGTCCACTGCTTCCCAGTCTCATCTGACGACAACTCGTCCTTCATGTCGTTCAGGCTTGATCGTATCATACATAGTCTCTTTGTGGTTGAGGTCTTCAGGATCTGAATGGCAGCCTTGCCTTCCTGCATCAGAGCAAAGACGTGCTCAAGACTAGAATCCTGGCATAGATAAGGCTTTTGGAGGTAGCTACAAATACTCTTCGTCAACGACCTTTCTGTGTTCTGCTTTGTCCGACACAAGCTTTTGTATTCTGAGATCAAACTCTCAGTTCCTACGGATGTATCTGAAGACGAATAAGTTGGCAGGTCACCCATAGAAGGCCTTTTTTGGTGTTCTTGCGAATGCTTCAAGCGAAAGAGCTCCATTGCTAGCTGACGGCTGCGAGCATCTGATGCTCTCCTCTCATGCCGTTGCTTCTCAAGTTCTATTGACACCCCTCCTAGTTTCTGCTCCAATTCCTTTCGGATCAGCTCCTGGCTCGGACTTCCTCCACCCTCCCTAAGCTGCATCTCCAGCGCTTCTTTCTGAGACGTCAGCAGCGCCACTTTGAGTTGGAGGCTGTCGATCGCTACGATGTAATGATCTCGCTCTGTCTCCTCCTGTCTATGGTGGAAGTCTGTTTCCTCAGACAAGATATTGTCCAACTTGGCTGGGTCCGAGAACTCCTCGATGTTGAGTGGCCTTCCAAGAAAGGCAGGAGTCGGGTCTGAGAAGGGTCTGTGGTGGTGATGGAAGGCTGATGAGCTACTTGCATCATCAGAGAGCTGATTCAGATGACTTGGAATTGCTCTAGTTCCAGGCCTGTTTGAAATAAAACATGGGAATTGTGGTTATTTTATATCGTAATAATCTGTTTGAAAGTCGGATCTTGAATGTTTTTACCAATGTGGTTGTGTTTGGCATACAGTGCCTCCCATCAATTACATACTTGTGATGAGAATCCATTGTATCAGACTCCATTAATAACAGTCTTGGACGAGCACCTAAACCTATCTGGACAGATGTGGATTAATTCCTTTTTGTAGCAACAGCAAGTTCTAGCTGGCAACTCTAAATGCACTCACTGACTTTATAGCAAGGATAACATTGTACAACTGCCAATCCAGCCAAGAAGTTCTCCAATGGATTGTTTGAGGGGACAGAGTGAAGTATGTCTCAACAATCCTGAAGACAAACATTGCATTACCATAAAGTATCCACGTAAGTTATGAACATCTTACTTTTCTCGCATTTCCACTTGCTTTTCCAGTGAGGAGGCAAGGAGGTTCTTTCTGAGGCTAGTCTTCTTTGCCCGGAGCAACGAATCATCGCTATCGCTGGCTCGTAGCCTTTGTCTCGTCATCACAACATCCTTGCTGGCTGGTAATGTAAGTGGGTAGGATGAGGCTCGATAAGCTTTTTGTTTTTGCAGATGCAAAGACAGAGGAACAGAAGAGGAAAGAGCAAAATGCACATGCTGTGGTTAGTTCGTCAATGACAAGCGTAGCTCAATGATCAGTTTAGAAACACACTATTGACTAAAAATTAGTGCTGTGAGTCGTGTGCCAAGTAATTTAAGCATTCTTCAAAACTTTTTGTTTTTGAAAGATGCTAAGCCATGGTTTTTGCTTAACTAACTTGACTCTAATATGTGCAAGAACCCCTAAATATCAAAGAGAGCGATTGCTGTGAGTCGTGTGCCAAGTAATTTAAGCATTCTTCAAAACTTCATGTTTTGGAAGATGCTGAGCCATGGTTTTTGCTGATAATATGTGCAAGAGAATGGTTGCCAGAACTACGAATCCTGCACAATCTATCAAGATCTAACAGCCTTGGCAAAAGTCTTTTGTTTTCTTCTCAGTCCAAATGTCCATCAGGAGCTCCCTGCTGTTGCATATTTTTTGATTGGGCAGAGTAAGTGTTAACCCTAACCCTCTTCAATCCTCCCAAATCCTCCTGGCTATTTTGGAGGATTTTGGAGCATTGAGGCTGAATGGCAAAAAAAGTGTCGGTTGATTTTGGAGGATGCATTGTGTCGTTCGTAGGCTGTACCCAGCATTGTTTATGTTCAGTCATACATAATTGGGCCCTGTATTAAGCTCAATATCATCCGCACTGCTTCTGAATGTCATCAGCACTGCCTCAACCCATTACAGCGATTGTTGGAGGATTTTGAGGACTGAGACAATGGTCAGCCCTCCACTGAACAAATTCAAGAAATAACAGTTGATTTTGGAGGATTGAGGCTGAATCCAATTTTTATACGGTAGCAATTGGAGGATTTTGCAGGATTGAGGATGGTTCCTAACCAAAAGGGCCTAGGGGGTTAAGGATGATTAAATCAGTACCGGTATTTAGCCTTTCTGAAAATATTGGTGTCAGTCATGGAACTAAAAAAATATGGATATGAATACTGTTTAATGCTTGACCATGCATGGAGCATGCCATTTTAAGCTGGTGGTGATCAGTAATTGGTAAAGCACACAATTCATAAATTTGGAGCATTCAACATAAAAATGTAATTAAAAAGAAATAAAAATAAAGCAAGCAAACTAAAAAATGCGTCAAAATAAAAAAATAAAACCAAATCAATTCAAACATTATCATGCATGTATTTGGAAAATCAAACTTTGTACACACTTAAAACACAAAAAATGGTATGTGTAATAATAGTTAATTGTGGTTGGATAATATTTTCAGCCAAGATAATAGTTTTACACAAGGGTGAAAATATTATCTTACCCAAATCTGTTAAGACCCCGCTACCCACACCATTGGCCAACTCTAAAAAGAACAACAGCGGGTCAATTATGGTCGGATTTCCTACAGCCATCTGATGACGAACAGAGCACACTGTTCGAAACATCGAGTCAAAACAACCGGTTCTTCTTAGAACCACACAACTCAAGAGTGATAAAATTCACATGGTGTTGCCACAAACCTTCCATACTTTGTTCATGTCCACCATGAAAAACCTACAGGTGTCATTCATCCAACACTTATCAAATTTGTGCAGTATTCTCAGTGCAAACTGCAAACATGTACGTAACAGTTTTACCAATTTGAGATTTGAGACCGTGTGGTACCCACTTTGTCCTATACACACTCCAGACAATTGCTACCTAACATATCCCCCTACGTTAGATATCTCGAAAGAATTCCTGATTCTGGGAGCGCAATGGCCAACACAAAAGTGGGAGGGGGGGGGGGGGAGGTCCTCTCTATCACATATCTTGATTCAAATGGTGTCTCTCTCTGAACAGGCATTTCAAACTTGACCTAAAGGATGAAACGCTTCATTTTACGCATCGATCCCTTAATGATTTAACAGTGACACACAAGATATGCCAGATTTCCATGACATAAACTGATCAATTGCAGCACCCACTGCTACTTTAGATTTGAACTGACCAGCTGACCCCGGCAAAGCTTGGTGGTCGAGTGGTAAGAGGTTCACACTAGTAGGCAGGAGGTCCTGGGTTCGAGTCCCACTCAAGTTAGGTTGTGAATTTGTTCTCACAAGCCTGCAGACAGCATGGAGTGAACAGTGCTTATAACCTTGCGTCGGTGAAGGGTTAAACCCAATGTTACTCGCGGAATGTTATTCACGGAATGTTACTCCCGGAGGCAAAAAATTCAATCACATAAAACATTTACCAGTTTTCTTGTCCGAGAAGATCTTGGTGATGTCCCTATGCTGCGCCCCTTGGGCTTCTTGGTGGGATGTCTTGCCGTGGTTGTTGAGGATGTTGTGGTCAGCACCATGGGCCACCAGGATGACGCAGGCTTCCTTGTGGCCCCGGAACGAGGCCAGATGTAGGGGGGTGTCACCGTTGTTGTTCTGGGCGTTTACATCAGCACCACTGAAGGTTTCAGACAGAATTTCCAAATGTTAATTTTTTTTTTACAATTTCAAGAATTTTCATCAACATTTCCTCAGCACAATCTTCTGCTATTATTTTCTGAGTGAGCAATAAAAACATTTTCACTTTTAATGACTTTCGATTGCAAAAGTTGGAAACAGTCGAAATCTGTTCTTACAAATTTATCTAAATACTTTCATAACCAAATCCCATTTCATAAACATTGAAATACTTCAGAGCATTATTTTTCGCGTCCTTCTCAGCATCTAAAAAGTGTAATGAAGAACAAGGTGGTATTGAAAGAATTCAACACCGACTCCAAGTCAGCCAGACATCCCGTCCAAATCTGTTTTTTTGAAATTTACTTGATTTATTGTCTTACTATCTGAGGAGGTACTTGATGCAGTCCGTGTGACCCCGGTCCGCTGCAGCGTGGAGGGGTGTCGACCCCCACTGGACAGCCAAGTTGGTATCTGCTCCTTTGCTAAGAAGCAGCCTGCAGATGTCGGAGTGCCCACTGCAAAAGAGGAGGTAACAAGTTGAATGCCATGGTCCAGTGGTTACGGTGTTTGACTCATATAGGATGGTGCGCGGGTTCCGACCCTGCCAGAAACATGGTGTTTGTGCTCTTGGGCAAAGACGCTTAACTACAATTGCCTCTCCCGCCAATTTCTTGTGAATCGCACTGGCAAGGGGGATTGAACGGCAATCAGATTTGCCACCATGGTTGGTGTATTCACAAAAGAGCTTAAAACTCACCCGCAAGCTGCCCAGTACAACGGGGTAGCCTCCTCGTTGTCTCTGGCATCGATCACCGCCCCTTCCCGGACCTCGGCCAAGACACGGTGGTAGAGTCCACGCTTGGCGGCAAGAATCAGCTCAGACATTATCGGAACCTGGCGGCAGCGCCTTCCTCTCTACCCCCTAGTGGTGATCGGAGTCTCTCATCCAACATTGGGGTGACCTGCCGGGAAAAACAATCAAAGAGAATTCAAACCAACTTTGTTAAGTAGAAAACTTTATCACTCATTGCAGAGGGTGAAATTACAGTCGAGACATCGGACACTTACCAACCATTTACTCGATTTTGTCTAACAGATGTGCACAGTGCAAAATTGAACTGTAAAGTGCATTCGACCTGCATGTCACAGCTCTCAATTAATTGTGCTTGTTCCTTTTCGTCCGAGCCGTGTTTTTTTTTTGTGTCAAAAAATTGGAAAGTTCACACTCTCCATTCCCTGCCGATTTGCAGACCAGTGTATGACAGGAACTCCACTTCCAAATTTGTAATGAGGTCAATCACAAGTGAATCAAAATCACATCAAAAATCCATTCACAAGTTCCTATATAGGTCGCAAGCAACAAGGGTTGAGCCAAATGACAAAGGATGGCCTTGTCGCAGTTTATGTGGGCTTGGATGACTCGTGACGATTTGGTTTGAAGACAATGCAGCAGAGTGACTCTGCACAAGTAGGCAAGACTGTGGATTGCAGCATGTGGATTCCATCCAGGATATGGTAGGCAGGACAACTTCACCAACAAAATAACCTGGCACCTTCTCAACAATTCAAGACAGTTGGTGTGGAATGATCCAAGTCAGATTGCAAGTAACAGGGGACGAAGAATGACAAGGGAATGGTCATGTCACAGCTTACCTGAGACTAGCGTACTCCTGACGACTTGATTTGAAGAAAAAAGATTGGCAGAGTGACTCTATCTGCACAATTGAGCAGGACAAATTCTCCCCCACAAAATAACCTGGCACCTTCTCAACAATTCAAGACAGTTGGTGTGGAATGATCCAAGTCAGATTGCAAGTAACAGGGGACGAAGAATGACAAGGGAATGGTCACGTCACAGCTTACCTGAGACTAGGGTACTGGTGACCACTTGTTTTGAAAACAATTTGGCGAGTGACACTTTCTGCACAAAAGAACTTCTCCCACAAAATAACCTGGCAACTTCTCAACAATTCAAGACAGTTGGTGTGGAATGCGGATCCAAGTCAGGCACAGGGGATGAAAATTGACAAAGGAATGGCCATATCACAGCCTACCTGAGACTAGCGTACTTGTGACGACTTGTTTTGAAAACAATTTGGCAGAGTGACTCTATCTGCACAAGTGGGCAGGACAACTTTTCCCACAAAATAACCTGGCAACTTCTCAAAAATTCAGGACAGTTGGCAATGAGTCAGGTCACAAGTACACAGGGGGTGAACAGTGACAAAGGAATGGTCACATGACCACAGCTTACCTGAGACTCGATTACTCATGACCACTTGATCATGATTTGAAAACAGTTCAGCACAGTGACTCTGTACAAGTAGGCAGGACAACTTTTCCAACACAGCAACCTGACAACCTCCCAAAATTCAGAACAGTTGGCATGGAATGACCCAAGTCAGGCCACGAGTCACAGGGTATGAACAGTGACCAAGAGGTGGCCATGTCAAGGCCTACTGGCGACAGGATGACTTGTGATGACTTGATTGGTTTGAGACAATTCATCAGAGTGACTCTAACAAAAAGGCAATTGCAGCATCTGGATTCCATCCAGCATATTGTAGGCAGGACAACTTCTCCAACACAACTTGACGTATTCAAGAAAAGTAGAATTTAAGTAGAATGGTACATGTACTACATCTGCAGCCAGATCTACCAAAAATGGTGACATTAAATGCCGACTCAAACTGGCACAGCAGGTCAACAGTTCAAACCTCAGCTGGGGTTAGCAATATCTCAGAGCATGACATTTAGCCTAACCTACCGGTACCTGTACTTCTTTCCATTTGACCTACATTGTGTAATCTGGGCATCTGGATCTTAATTTATAATTTTTTTTTCATGGAAGAGCTCCAGAAACTCAAGATGTCAACTACATCAATGAAAATGTCACACTGTAATTTGCTGGTACCGGTACATACATTCACAATCACAAAATCCCAGAAATTTTACACCACGACTATCTAATACAAAGTTTATCAATGTGAAACACTACATACATATTAAAACGCTACATGTACCAACAGTACCATGTGCCCAGAAACATCCACCACTGCTATCTGATAAAGTTTCAACTGTGTTCCTCTACGGCCAGATTTAGTGCTGGTAATAATGTCATCATCGGCTTAAAATAGACTGTAAAATAGTCAATACGCAGCGGCACATGTTGGCAACATAAATCTAGGAAAACTGACTATAGTCCTTGCAAACTTCCATTCACTTCAAAAATTTCAAAGTAGCCATTTTTCATTGGCAGCTTACCAAAAAAAAGGTTCACAATTGCAGATACACTCCTGTCACATAAAATTCCAGTTCCAGGTAAATTATTATTGCCAACGGCCAATGATCGAGCACAATGAAGCCTTTTACCAAACAAGGCTAGGGTTCTGAATCTAAACACAACATGGTTTTCTCTACACACAGAATCCAGGAACTAAACTGACCACAAAAACAGGACCTACTGTACATAATGTACAATGTACGTGACAAACAGACCTCCAGCAAATCAAAAGGCAACTTTGGGAAAAACCTGAGCGACCTAAATAATTTGTCTTTCTTTTTCTATTGATAGTCGCTTTACTATTGATAGTTAAAGCAACAATAGACCGAAAAGGAAATGTGGAAAATTTCCATAGTCACTCGAGCACATGTACAGTAAACTACTGAATTTCTTCATGACTCATTGAATGCAGACAAATTTTATCAAGAAATTCATGAATTTTTGGCGTTTTTCTTCACACTAAGTACAACTTATTGTGAAGCAAATCTGCCAAAAACCTTATCCAAAACTTATAAAAAGGTCTAAAAAAATGCATTGATACTATTTCCTATTTTTTTTATCAACAAAACAACATAATAGTTTGCTGTAAGATACTTTTTACTCAGTTAGGGCAAAGCCTGAACTGTATTGTACATTGTAATACAATGATGAGAGGGAATAATTAATGACAACAATTTCAGTTTATCAAGTAATGTCAGACTCTTTTTGTGGTAAAAAAAAGTTCAACTACTGTATTAAATATTTATAAATAAACGAAACATCCAGAAAGTTTGAGGTCAACCCTCACCTACCATCAAGCCACTCTCACAAACTTCAGCAGATATGTTCACATCTGTCTTCCAAAGTCCAGAACGATTCCAAGACAGCACGCTCAAAATCCCACAGCCGAAAATCCAAATGCAGGATAACAGTTCAACAGGTGCACCTGCAGATTCAGCACCTTGAATGCACCTTCTACCCACACCTTAAATGTGATGACAAGTTGCACTTATAAGTCCAAAGAGGGTTGTAAAAGTTCAACTTGTAGTTTACTGCATCCTGTTTCAGCTGGATTCAAACTACACCTGGTATCAAGTTGGGTCAAGTTGGGTCCCAGTGCCAGTGGTTACACGTTGCCTTTACACAACCGCAACTGTCAATTAAACAGCACACCTGCAACATTCATCCCAAGACTTGCAGAGTCACTTCACACAGCCGTTTTTTTGTGTTTTTTTCTCTGTGTAATGACAATGCATGTTATTCAACCAGGTACACGTAGCAAAATGTTTAACAACGGCAATTCCTCCTGACTTTTCTTTTATAGCCGTGCGCAAACAAGGAAGTACATTTTATTGGCAGATGAAATCAGAAAACAGTTGATGCATTACCTAACTTGTAGTTCACTTGCTGAGAAACTCTTTTGTGTTCGTATGATAAAGGGAAGCCTATTTCCTGAATTGAACAGTACAAAATCGCACGGCCATTGCAAAATGACAACGGTGATGTTGGGTCACATGATATCGGTACCATTGGGAAATAAAACTTGATCATTTCATAACAATGCATGACTGTAGAACTTCATTGTTATCAGTAAATTTGTACAAAAAGGGCACGCACTTTGAGGACAGCCTACTACATGTACGCCTACCCCATGCATTGTACATTCAGCTGCTTTACATGTTCAGATTTACAACTTGATTTTTTTTCATCGCTGTTACATTAAACACAAGTTACAATATGAAGATTTAAGCACGACACAGCTACAATCAATTTTTTCCAGGGGGGGGGGGGGAATTGACTGGTATAGAACCATAACTGCTGTACTTTGTCATGTACATGTTTGAGCAAATAAAATTTGAAAGAAGAAAAAAACTGCAAACAAAGTCTTGCCCAGTTTTCTAAAAAGGAAACTGAACATTTCAAATACTGTGTTATTCAGCCGTATACAAAATGTAGCTCAAGTTTCAAAGACCTCAGGAACCAGAATTTTGCGGTGGATGTAAAGTTACCGTTTTTTCCTGATATAAGTTCTATTATTCAGGATGTTTTCATTTTATTCGCTATAGCAATGTAAAGTTACCATTTTTTTCCTGATATAAGTTCCATTAAATTCACGATGTTTTCATTCAACAATTTAGTCACTATAGCGCCCCAAACCGCCCCGCCTATCACCCACTGTAGCCCCCGGAACCACCCGAGCACTCAGTGGTTTTACTGATTTTTCCGTGAATAACCACAATGTTTATGCAATGTGGTACAGATGCTAATTGGGTTATGTTTTAGGAACATCAAAACAAAAGATCAGATTTCAAATAAAAACAGAGTTTGACTTACAGTGCCGACAGTGGCTGTCTTACCCAAAACAAAAATACCCTTTTTTATGGAAATGGGTTTTACTCTTTAGTTTCTTTACCGCCCAAAAGCACCCTACCTGTTACTCCTTATACCGCCTGAAACTGCCTTGAACAGCACTCTTTGGCTTATAGATTCTTCGAGGAAGGCCCAAAAAAACCCAAATAGTTTCCCTACCTACCCTATTCTGACAGCCCCTACCGTAATATTTTTTATGGTAAAAAATTAGGTTTAATTACCCCAAACCATCAATTTCTACCTTTTACCCTTGACTACACGCAGACGGCTCCATATGATTGTACACAAAAATTGGCCAAAACAAAAAATGTCGCTACCTACCCGGTACAT